CCAGTTCTGTGACCCTGAGGAGGACCAGGTGGGACCCCATTGTCTGTCCAGCAGAGCCCGGAGTTGGCGTGGGTGGTCAATGGGAATGGGTGGTGGCTGAGAGCAGATTGTGGGTGCAGGTTCTGGCTGGGCTGGGCAAGGGGGCCACCTCGTGGGTGGGACTCTCTCTGCCAGGCCTTGGTAGACCCTCTACAAAGTCTCCAGCTAATTTCTTGTGCCCTGCCTCACATTCTCCTACGTTTCTGGCCGGCATGGCAATCCCTCCACCCACACCCACACCTACTATGGAGATGGCAGGGCGGAGAGGGGTCCTTCAGAGTGGGAGTCCATGTCAGTGTGGGAATCTGGTGGCTCATGAACCACTCAGCTGTCACCCTGTGGCCCGGGCACAAGCCAAGGCCCGAAGCCCTGGGTGGGTCTGGTTTCATGTGGCAGTCATGCGTGAGGCGTGGACATTGGCATCAGATCTGGGTTTGTGCGCCAGCTCCACTGCTTACCAGCTCTGTGACCTGGGGGATAATAACTCACTCATTGGATCGTGACGAGGATCCAATGAGGGGCCCTAAGTAAAGCACCAGGTTTCTTGTCTGGCTCTAAGAGGAAGCCCCGTTAAGAGTTTGAGTTTCTATTCCTTCCTTCTAGCGGTTCCTGGTAAATAGTAAGGAATCATCTGACCCTGGTTTGGTTGAAAGGAAAATTCATCTCTCCACTTAATCAGGTGGGACTAAACTACAGAATATTGCTAAGCCAAGAGCCAAGATAAAAAAAAAAATGTTCAAATGATTTGGCTGCTTGTTTTTAATAAAATCCTGGCGGTAGAGTGGAATCTTTCAGAAAAAGCTCAGCTTTGCTGTACTGGTGTCTCAGGCTGCTGTTAGCTGTATTCAGGCTGTTGTTAGCTGTATTCGGGACAGTGTGACCTTGAGAACAGAGCCCAGTGTGACCTTGAGAACAGAGCCCAGTGTGACCTTGAGAACAGAGCCCAGTGTGACCTTGAGAACAGAGCCGTGTGGGGAGGACCACTCTCTCAGAAGCTGCAGGGGCTGGTGGGAAGGCAGGAGGGACCTCAGGGGAGTGTCTCCTGCCCCTCCCAATGTGCCTCTCCCTATCTGCACCGGCTGAATGTCACTGCCCCTCTGGGTCTCCCCTTGGCTACAGCCCAGTGGTAGTGGCTAGTCAGGTGACGGCTCCAGCCTCCACCTGCTCTTTGTGGTGAGACTGGGGGAGCTGCCGGTTAGACGGCCTGTGCAAGCTCACCATTTCCGGGTTCCAGTACCTCTTACTCAGGTGTGGGGTGAGGTGGGGGCAGCAGCCCTTCAGAGAGGAGATGAGCTGGCACAGGACAGCCCTTTTACCAGCTCAGCCTCTTTATGTGATGCCAGGGTGGAGCCTGGGCAGCCGTGTGCAAGGCGCCCCTTTTCAGCAGCTCTGTCTCAGCGCCCTCGGCAGCCTCCCAGAGACAGTGTGGAGGATGCCCTTTCTGCATTCGTGTCAAGCAGCGTGGCCCAGGCTTTCCTCTGAGAGCTGCAGTGCCCGGAACATCCCTGAGTTCTGTCCCGGAGCCTGGGGTCAGGGACAGGGTGGAGGCGCTGCCATCAGACTTGTTCTGTGGGGCTGGATCTCCATTCCTGAGTCTGCAATGGCGAGCGCAAATGCAAGCCGCAGGGAGGAAGGGCCCCCAGACAGGTCTCAGCAGGCAGCCAAGCTGACAAGTTCAAATACAGCTTAAGCCCCATTATCCGGGCAGCCTTGGGAAGATTACTGGGTGGTCGTGGGGAAGCTCTGAGGCAGGGAGGAGGGGGACTTCTGTCCTCAGAAATGAGGAAACCAAGCCTGGAGGGATAGAAAGAGATTCCCTTTTGCCTCTCATCAGTGATGATCCCGTCATCCAGCCCAGGACTCGGGTGGTGTGCTGGGCCCCGGTGTTCAAACCTGCCCACCCTCGCTCTGTAAGCCCTCCTGGGCCCCACAGGGCACCTCAGTTTCCGGTGTCTGACCTTCCGGTTTGGGTCAAGCACTTGCCGAGTGGGGAGAGGCCCTCGCCTGCAGCGGGTCCCAAGGGAGAGTTGCCTCGGCTTGGCAGGGGCTGTTCCCAGGACTCCGGACACCACAGGGATAACAATGATGACCGGGCAGGACCCTGACACCCAGATTGACTCAAAGATGCCAAGAAGGGTCAGAACTCGGAGCTCAGTTCCTGATCAGGCCGCCTCATCCTGGCCTCACTCAGCTCTGGTCCTGGGCACGAGGCTGCCCACTCTGCCCCTTGTAGAAAGCGGGGATGACATGAGTACCCACTTCAGAGTGGGGGACTGCGCAGGCCGGTGCCAAGGGCTCAGCACAGCGCAGCAGCAGGCATGGAGTCCTGCCGCTTCAGGCAGCAGGTGTCCCGTCTCCCCTGTTTACTCCTGGCATGGAAATCCTCCTGGCACGGCCCCTGGCGTGTGCCTGGAATGAGCTCTACAAACACACGTGTTGGCTGTGATGGTTATTGTGGGAATGTGCAGAGTGTATTGGCTATGGCCTGGCCCCCACACCTGTTTCTCCTGACAGTCCCAATAAACAAGTTGTTTTCTTGGGATTTTCTCATTCTACCCCATGAGCCAGTCTGAGTCCACTGCCAGGGGCTGGTGTCCTGAGAAGGAGCGACTCGGCATTGGAAACCCTGTGGGGATCTCTGAGTTCTCAGCTACTCCACGAACCTCCTGTTCTTCCACTTCGTGATTCCGCTGTCTTTCCTGCCTGTCTGCTCAGCTGCCCCAGGGAAGAACCTGGGAGATAGTAGGAACCTGGTGTCTCCCCACCTTCTCACGCTGCTCCCTGATGCTTCTCCCTTGTCCCCGGGGAGTAAGGTGCGGAGTGTCACTGCCAAGGAAGTTGCCGTGGGCCCTGCCATGCCTCTCTTCCGGAGGAGGAGGCTGTAACTTTCCATGGTCTTTGGAAAAGGGGGAAGCTGTGCTCCCTCCCATCTGTGTCTGCCTCTCACTGGCTCAATGTTGCTCCGAGTTTTACGCTGGAATCCTCTGAGCAATCTCCAGCCCCCACTTCCCACCTTCATATGAAATTTAAGGGCAGATTTAAAGCAATTGGAAAGCACCTTACAGATCAAATGCCCGTCAATAGCTTTTCAAAGGACAGTTTTCAGCTGCAATTAGAAGAGACCTTGAATGCATTACTGCTCACCCCAGAGAGGTTCTTCCAGAATGTGGCTCTTTGGACACCAGCTGGGGTACTGCAGTCCTTCCGGCCACTGCCCACCCAGAGTTGGTGTCAGACTCCCCAGTTTAAGGGTGAAGTCCCCAGTAAGACTGCCAGCCACATGTGGGGTCCCCAACGACACCACACTCTGACCAACTGACTACAAAGCCAAGGGCTCCCATGACCCTCCTCCGGCTCCATCATTCACCAGAGCGATTATAAGGTACCGGTTTTATTACAAAGAAGAAAGATCAGAAACAGCCAGATGGAGAGGCGTGATGGGCAAGGTGGTAGTATCAGCTCTTTACCTGCTACCTACCTCCTTTCCGTGTTAAGCATTTCCTGCGTGCCTGGCACTTTTGTTATCTTATTTCATTTCTACTACTGCCCTTTGAAGCCTCTGATGTTATCTCCAAGTGAGGCATTGAGGTCCAGAGGGGCAGGGACCACTCAGAATGATGGAGCTAAACAGTACCTTAGCGAGGATTTGGATCCAGCTAACCCATTCCCGGTCAAAGATGGAGCCACCTAACTTTGTCCCAAACTCAGTCCAACAGACGTCCCTTCTGGCTAGAAAACTATTGTCTTTACACCTGTGGGCTGACAGGAGGTGGCTGCCCTGGTCTGTGAGATGTTGTACCACTGAGGCCTCAGAGAAGGACCTTACCCAGAGAAGCCCCGTGGGTCACCCTGCTTCATTCAGGCAGTGACCAGCTACCCCGCCAGGTGGAGACCGTGGACATCCGATCTGAGAATCGGGGAGAGGCAGCCTAGAGAACTCTCGGGTGCTGGCTCGCCTGCTTTCCCAGCAGGGTTGTGTGTTCCTGGCAGCCAGAGCCGAGGGGACTGTGAGCCAAGCTTAGCCGTGCCAGTCCCTTCTAAGCCTCCCGGGGCCATGGCATACTTGGTGGGACAGTGTAGAGAAGCATTCCATGCCAGGCCTGACCTAACAGATGTTCCTTCTTCCCCTCCCAGATAATGCTACAGTGAGTTTTTCTGCCGCTACCAGGTCCCGAGGGACCTGCACATGGCTGGGTCAGAAGCCAAACACTGCAGTTAGGGAGATAAGCAGCACTTCTGGGATCCCAAGAGACTGCCTGGTTCTCTTTGCCACAGCAGAGGTTCTCAGGGTATTTGCAAATGAGGGCGGGTGAAGGGGCGAAGCGGGCAGGGAGGAGAATCCAGGGTTGTCACATTAATGGGATCCTGCTGGAACTTACCCAGCAAGGCCCAGGGATGCTAACCATCCTGCAAGGAGCTGGACAGTCAGACACACTCTCAAAAAAAAAAAAAAAAAAAAAAAAAAAAAAAAAAAAAAAAAAAAAGTCCTGCCTGTGAGAGACACTGGGCAATGGCTCATTTGCACCCCCTGCTGCCTGGTTCCTTAGAAAGCCACTTCCTCAGCAGCCTCCAGGCTGAATGGGAACTAAACAACATGTGACCAATGACAAGGCAATGTTTCCAGGAGAACGCAGGCCAGTGAGAGGAGCATCCGTCTTGCACGCACTTGCTCCAATCCTTCATAGATGGCTCTGGAAAGATGTTGGAGCTGGGAGGTGAGAATTCACAGGGCAGGGACAGGCCTCCTTCTCGGTGCCTGGCAAGAACTCTGCTGCAGCCCAGCCGGTATAGACTCGGCTGCCTGCTCTGGGACCCTCTCCCAGGGTCTGCCTTTCACTCCTGTTCCCACATCTCATCTTTCCTGTGGGCTTTTTTGTTACCTGCTGTCTCCACGTGAAATGTATTTAGAGGAACCTGGCTCGGATGCCGTGGCTGAACCCCCCTCTCTTCTTGTTTTACAGTCGGGAAGACGTCTCTGATCACGAGATTCATGTACGACAGCTTCGACAACACGTACCAGGTGAGGTCCTGGAGCCCCTGTTCCCCGTCACCCCTGGTGCCTGCAGCCAGGGCAGCTGCCCGGAGACGATGCTGGTCCTGAGGGGGAATAGGATGTTCCCGGAGCCCAGGGCATTGGTTTTGCCTTGAAGGAGCCTCCCCTCTATGCACTTGCCCCAGCCCAATAACAACTCTGATCCCTTCGGAAGGTGCAAACCTCGGCAAAGGAAATGTTTTCCAGGAGAGAAAGAACATGTTTCAGTCTGCGTCATCTTGCGGCCCGTGGGCAGGTCTAACATCACAGGGTTTGGTTACGTGGGTGGGTTGTCACCTGGAGGAGGGTGGACAAGATGCAACATAATGGAGGTGAAAGAGCAGCAGGAGAACTTGTGCCTTGAGTATGGTTATATTTGCTGGACCTCATGCATGGGCGTGCACACACTCAGGTACACACACACACACACACACACACACACACACACACACAGTTGTTGAGATGCTCTCTTCCCTGAGGAGGTTGATGTGATGGGCTTATACAGCTCTACATGGGCAGGACGCTGGTGGAGTGACCCCTGGTCTGCTCACAGTGGTCTGGGGTCAACCAGTGGTCCAGAGGGAGCTCCAGGTACTCCAAAGGCTGAGCTCTTAGGGGTCGGTAACATTTCATTTACCTGGCACGGGTGACAGAGAGATTTGTGCAAATGAAGTGGATTTTCCTTACAATTATAGCTCTTTGCAAAAGCCACCACATTTAATCATTTCAGTTATTTTTAAGGGGAAAAAAAGTTTCTTCCTCAAAGCAGAGACAAATAAGATGCATTTTTCTAAGCCAGTTGGACCTGTGAGGTACGTAGGCGTGTATGTAGATTTTATTTGAGAAGAAGGCAGGCAGGGGGGTGTAGTACTTGTGTATATTTAGGGAACACTGATGAACAAAAGGAAATCAACTTACTCCTGCAGGACTCCCTTGACTGCATCAACGTGTGGTCTTGGGCCGAAAGGGAGTGTAGTGTGCAGGGTCCCCTAGATGTATCTGGCTATGGAATCTTTGTCACCGAGTCCTGACGGGGGACATATTTGTAGAGCACACTGGGGACGGCTGGGTCAGAGGTCCCTCTGCCTTCCTGGACTGACCCAGGATGCGGAGCACAACTCACTGCCCACTGCAGTTCCGGTCTTCTCTTCAGTCTGGGCCTTGCCCTGGACTACTAGTCACCGTCTTTGCCCCAGATTCAGCCCCCCTCTTCGCCTCTCTCGAATGTCCTGCTTTTCCTCTGCAGTCGTCTGTAATGCCAAGTAACTAGTGGACTTGATGGAAGGGTCAGAACGTGAGGCTTCGGGGGAGGGGCCCTGGGTGACATGCACAGTCCTAGGCACCGGCTTTGGGAGGTGGTCTCAGCCTCACTGCCTTCGTTATATGCGTTCCAGGCCTGGGCTTTGCACCAATACAGCCTTGGCAGAGGCCGGGCCTCCCCACAAGGAGAATTCTACCACACTGATCTGCATCTGGATTCTATCCTAACAGATTTCCGTTCTGGATTATGACCTAGTATTCTCTCTCTGTGTGTGTGTGTGTGTGTGTGTGTGTGTGTGTGTGAGAGAGAGAGAGAGAGAGAGAGATAGAGAGAGAGAGAGAGAGAGATTCTATTTGAAATTTTGAATTATCAAATACTTATCATGCCTCTTGTTGGTGTCCCATTGACTACAGTGAGTCACTTGGCTGTTTTGGGTTCTTGACAGTGGTGGATGGTGACAGTGACCTTTGCAGTGTCCTCATTGGCATGGATCACCTCCTCCCCATGTAGTTTGAGTCCCTCAAAAATCTCAGCCCACCTTCCTCCAGTGTCCGCTTGCTCACTGCTTGTCCCGGGGTCCAGAGGCCCGCTTGCTGGCTGCTCCCCACACAGTGGCACTGCCCCAGCCCCACACCTTGGCTCATGGTATCCTCTCTGCTGGAACGCCCTGCCTTCTCTGCTGCGAAATATTCTTGTGACTCATCAAAGCTCAGAGCATGTTTGCCTGTGTTCCGCCCCCTCCATGGCACCCTCTCCCTTATCACGCTGCCCTGGACTCTCGTGGCCTCCTGACTCCACAGGAGCTCCCTGTGCTCTGGCTCCTGGGTGGGCTCTGGGCATGGCTGGGGCCACGACCTTTCAGATCCACCACTGTTTGTGGCCCCAGCCCCGGGCCTGGCCGTAGCTGGTGTCAAACGCCTGTTGGTGCCAACACTCTCTGCCTTGGTTTTAGACCCCACCACACTGAGAGGCCCCATGTCACTGTGGTGAGAGGGGAGCAAGCCAGGTGCCCTCCCACTGCAGGCTTTCTGACTTCTTTTCCCAGCAGGTAGAGTTTCTTCCCTGAAACCCTTTAAGATAGTAATTAGGCTAGGAGGCCAGGGCTCCAATTCCTTGCACACATGGGCTTATCTTAATGAATTCTCTGGAGACTGAGGAAAAGGGGAAGTGTTATTTTGTTTGCTTTACTTAACTCAGTGGCAGAGACATTTGGGAAGTAGACAAGATCTCCCAGGAGCTCTGGGGGATGTTCCTTGTTGGCCCCAGCACTGTGACTGCTCCCAGCTACCCCCACGCACGTCCCACCCATCAGCCAGGACCGCCCTGCAGAGCCTGCCGCCAGCCCACCTTAATTAGCTGAGGTGCCCAGACAATTCCCAGAACCAGTCCCCGCGCCCTCCCTCCCATCCTTTCTGTGTGCCTCTGGCTCTGTCTCCTGCCCCCTCCCTCCCTCCACTCGCCCTGACAACAGATATTTGTCAAGTGCTTGGAGAGAAAGTAGAAGAAAATAGAATCTGACCCATCCTCAGCCTTGCGTGGAGGACAGGGGCGGGGGGAGGGGGGGTAAGGCACGGGAGGGTCAGCCTCATGTGGGTGGCAGTCAGTCCTCCCTTTGCCTGGGCTGAACATGCTGAGGCCTTGAGAGGCTGGCATGAGGACCCATGAGGACCTGGCTATGCAGAGCCGGGTTCCCTGTTACACCTCTCAGGGACCCTATCCACCTGGCAGCCTGTGGGCCCCTGGAGAGCAGATCTGCTGCTGCTGCCTCCTGCCTGGCACTCCCCTCAACACACCTGCACCTTGTCCCCCTCTTGGCACATGCATCCCAGCCTCTGCCACTCTGCTCACCACCCCACCTAATCCACATACTAGAAGAAGCAAAAAATGAAATTGACGAGCATCCTGGTGAGAGTCATAGATTCACAAATCTCTTGTATAAGCCCCCAACTAAGAAATTATTTTCAAAATTTGCGATGGGAGAAACCTTCTTGTGCCTGTGCTGTGATGAGTCTTGACCGCCTGTGGCCAGGCCCCCTCCCCTCTCACAGGCCAGCGAAACATACCTGCGGGCCTGGTCGGTGGGCCACCTGCTTGAAACCTGCACTAGAGCCGTGTGGGTGGTCTCAGGCCTCTGCAGGTGGCCACTGGGGGTGGGAGGGAGGATTTGGGTTTCTCATGGGTCCTCTATCTTGGCTGCACTTTGATATTTCTTACTGGGAGTATGGGCCAGGAGATTCACAGGCCAGCTCAGTCACTGGTACTTTTTAAATCTCAGAGGTGATTGCGATGAATTTGTAGCCAAGGCTGGAGCCGCTGGCCCATCCCTGGACCGTGCGCCCACCTCAGCACAAGTTAGGAACCCCCAGGAGAGGGTCCGGGCCTGCTGGAACTTCCCTCGCTGCTCCCCGAAGTGGAGGAGCATTTCTGGAGGAACATGGAGCTTTAGCTGCCTTGGGGCATGCCTGGGGACCCCGGGCGCCAAGGGAAGGGGACAGAGCCCTCACACGAGGAGCAGTTGCCTGAGGAGCTCTCACCCCTGGCAACCTGCCTGCGCTGCCCGAGGCTTTCCTCTCCAGCTCCCAGGTCTGTGTGAGTTCCCAGGAGCTGCCACAACACAATACCACAGACAGGGAGGCTTAAAACCACAGGGATGATCCTTCCACAGTTCTGGAGGCTACAAGTCTATAGTCAAGATGTGGCAGAGCTGAGACCAGTTTAGCTCAATGGATAGAGCGTCGGCTTGGGGACTGAAGGGTCCCGGGTTCGATTCCGGTCAAGGGCATATACCTTGGTTGCGGGCATATCCCCAGTAGGGGGTGTGCAAGAGGCAGCTGATCGATGACTCTCTCTCATCGATGTTTCTAACTCTCTCTCTCCCTTCCTCTCTGTACAAAATCAATAAAAGATATATTTTTTTTAAAAATGTGGCAGAGCCACGCTCCCTGCAGAGGGTCTGGGAGAGGATCCTTTCCTCGTGCAGCCTCTGGGGCTGCAGACCTTCCTTGGAGTGGGGCTGCGTAGCCCTAATGCCTGCCTCCATCTTCATCTGGCCTTCACTTCGTGTCTCTGTGCATCCTCTTCTCTTCTCACGAGGACACCAGTCATTGGATTTAGGGGCCCACTCTGAATCCCAGATGATTTTTCATCCTAAGAGCCTTAACTAATTACATCCACAAAGATCCCCTTTCCAGAAAGGTCACATGCTGAGGTTCCAGGTGGACAGAATTTTCAGGGACACTCTTCAACCCAATGCTGGGCTCTGGCACCTCTCAGTCTGATCCCACTCTTTTGGTGAGCATATACAAATTAGGAATATGGTCCCCGAGTACAGAAAGCTGACAAAGTGGCTTCAACAAAGAAAGATTTTGCTTTCCCAGATGCAGGAAGTCGTGGTGAGACCTGAGGTGGCACAGCTGGGCAGTGATGCCGTCAGACCCCCGGCCCTTGCTCTCGTGCTGTTCCGCCTTCTTGCCGTGTGGGTTCTCATCTTCGTGCATCTTCTTGCTGTTGCTGCTCCAGACAGCACGTCTGCATCGACGGTAGCAAGAGCTGCCTAGTGTGGCTCAGAGGTTGAACACTGACCCATGGACTGGAGGTCCTCCAGGGACCAGGAGGTTGCCGGTTTGATTCCCAGTCAGGGCACATGCTCAGGTTTGCAGGTTCGATCCCCTATCCCCAGCAGAGGGTGTGCAGGAGGCATCTAAAGGATGCTGATGTTTCTCACTGATCTTCTTTCTCTCCTTCTCCCTTCCTCTCTCTCTCTAAAATCAATAAAAACCTATTTTAAAAAAAGAAAGAAAGAACTACCCTAGAATACCTTCTCCCTCCGAGCAGACTGTGGCTATTGTCTTATTGGTCAGAATTGGGTCACATCATCACCCTTAACCTCTGGAGAGGCTGGAAAAGCAAATTTTCACTTTTACAGTCTCTAGACAAGCAAGGGAGTAAGAGGTTGCCAGTGGGTAAGGGGTGGCATCTCCCCAGGGCCTGCCAGTAGCTACTGGTGAATCCCCAGTAGCTCCATTTCATAAGTTGAATGAACCCATGATGCAATTCTCTGCCCCATATCTTAGTAATCCTTCGTAATTCACTTTGTAGGTTATACTTAGGTAGCTCTTTTTTTTTTTTTTAAATAAATCTTTATTGCTCAGATTTTAGGTAGCTCTTAGACAACCTCAAAGTCCATCATGGGGAGCATCTTTTGCCCTAATTATTAAAGTCAGCTTATGCATAACATCTTTATGTGACCCTTCAGGAGACTGCTCAGGAATCTGTGAGGGGATTGACTGGTTTTGATGAAATGTAACCCCTTGTTTAGAGTTGGAAGGTGCATGTTGTTTGGTTGATGTTTCAAACTACAGTCAGGAAATAAAAGAGCAATCAACAAATATCCCGGTGGGTGTTGACTAGCACAAGCTGCTCTCCTCTAAGAGGAAAGTGGCCACCAGGACTGTGTAGACTTTGAAGCTGAGGTTCCTGTGCTGTGGCCTTGTACCTAGCACCCCCTTCCCCAGAGCATATAGCTGCTGGCAAGGACAGACCCTGCCCAGCATGTTTTCCAGGGACTGCTGTCTCCTTCCCCTCAACACCCGCTTGCCAGTCTGAATGCTTAAGTTTTGCCAACCTCATTTGCATGCTAATTTGCATGACTTTCCCCTGGTACTCTCATCTAATGGTTGGTGGTGTGGAGCCCAAACAGCAGCTCCATTGTCAAGGGCTTGTCAGGCCCGGCTGCTTTCTGCCACTTAGGGATGCTTCCCCAGCCATGGGCCAAGGCCCAGCCAAGGCTACAAAAAGGCACACATCCACTGCTTTTCATGACTTCTCTTCCCGGAGAAGAGAGTCTTGAGTCAATTTATGCAAATTACCATGCAAATTTCCGCCGCCGACTTTATTACTGTGTCTTGTCAGACTGTGGAGGCAAAAATATATTTCATAATAAATGCACATAGCAAAGAAGATTTCAACAAGTGCTGCAGGGAACATCTCTTTCCTCGGGGATCCGCTAGGCGATGGAAGCTTCTGTGCAGATGGAGGCATGTCCTGTGCAGTCTGCACTGTGTGTCTGAGCCCCCATTGACACTGTTTAATGCCACCTTTAGAAGATGAATGTGGACGTGGCTATGAAATCTGGGCTTGTTAAGTTCCTCGTGTTTTGTATAAAATAAAGCGCCTGCCATTTTTCATAAGCAGTCCGGTTTGCGAGCAAGATAATATTAAAGGAATAAATAAGCATTGCCAGGTTTGGGGCAACCTAATCACAGCAGAGTGCAGCCCAGCTTCCCCAGGGGGCATTCCAGAGGCTCCTGCAGCACCGCTGAGGAGGGGAGGGGATCGTAATGACCATGGACTGGCAGGGGAGTCCCCAAAGTCAAGTCTGCTGTTCATTTGTCTTGATATCCTCTTTACATCCCTGTGGCTAGTTACCAGCAGGAATAATTTGAACCAGTCCTGGCATTGGCCTGTGGACTTCAGGGTCCCAGGTTCGATTCCGGTCAAGGACATATGCCCAGGTTGCAGGCTCGATCCCCTGTGAGGAGCATGCAGGAGGCATTGATCAGTGATTCTCTCTCATCATTGATGTTTCTTTCTCTCTCCTCCCTTCCTCTCTGAAATCAATAAAAATATATTAAAAATAATAATTTACTCCATATCTTATAAATAGGAATAAAGTACAAAGAATGAATGCTTTGACCAAGACTCTAAGGCCATGGTCGGCAAACTGCAGCTTGCAAGCAACATGCGGCTCTTTGGCCCCTTGAGTGTGGCTCTTCCATGGCTTGGGCGAGTCTAATTTGAAGAAGTGGTGTTAAAAGAAGTTTAAGTTTTAAGAATTTGGCTCTCAAAAGAAATTTCAATTTTTGAACTGTTGATATTTGGCTCTGTTGACTAATCAGTTTGCCAACCACTGCTCTAAGACAATATAGAAGAGGGATGTGGTCTCCTCTAGAACCCACCTCATTGAGGGTCAGCCTTTCCTGAAATTCCTGAAACACTAGGGTGTTAATAGGAATTATAAGCACAAAGATTCCCAGGGCGCAAAGAAGGTTGGGAAACATTGGGTTATATGAAATTGTTCACATTTCTTCAGAGCAGGATGTTTTTGGACCTATACTATGCCAGTGTGCTTTATGGCTCTCCACTAGGGGCTAGAACAAGCATGTCAAACTCAAAGGCTAACATGGGCCAAATAAACAAGGCATGTGGCCCGAGGGCCATGAGTTTGGCATGCTTGGGCTAGAATATGCAGCCTTTCCCAGAAACATCTGGTCACAGTTCAACCAGAGCTCTTGTAAAAGAACAAAGGAAATCTACAGTCTTAATGACAATGTGTAGGATATAACTAAAAATTACTAGACATAGAGAGTAAAATTCATATTCAAGAAAAAAGGAAAGGCTTGCTTTGTACAGGAGCGAAGAAATACTTAGAGCCTGGAAAGGTGTGGGGATAAGGCCGGGCACATGTAGACAACTTTGCAAATACGTTATAAATCCTGGCTCTGTCACTTCCAGCTGTTGACACTGGGAAAGTACTCTTGTACTCAGTTTTCTTACCAGTGACATATGAATACTAATGGACATAACCTCTAACATAGGTTATGAGGATTAAATAATGCCCTTAGCACTGGCAAATGGTCAGTACTCCAATGTTTAGTCATTGTTACGGCAGTTATTGTTATGTTAGAGTGTAAAACCAAGGAAGGAATTGAAGTAGTTTATTCCTGCAATTGTATAGGAGGATGTTAAGTTGTCTTCTGAGAGTAATTTGTGCTGAGGATGTGGCAGGGGCAAAATAGAGAGGAGAATTCTATGGATGGAAGTAGGAGGTGATCAAGGGCAAGTCACATGTTCTTTAAAGAAAACCCATATATTTACAATTTCTGGTACTCATGTTCCTTCTTTAAAGATTTAAATTTCCATCATCAAAATTTCCCCTCAGCCTAAAGCATCTCCTATAATGAGGGCCCACTGCTTGCAAACTATCACATCTTTCCCATACTGAAAATGTTTTTGTTTTGCCTTCATCGTTAAAGGAAGTTTTCACTGGATATAGAATTCTAGGTTGGCATGATACTTGTTGTTTCTTTTGTCTTCTGTCCTACATTGTTCTGATGAGAAATCAACTGTCATCCTTGTCATTGTTTCCTTGTATATAATGTGTTTTCTATTTCTGGCAGCTAGTAAGGTTTTTTTCTTTATCTTTTGGTTTTCTGACTATGATATGCTTGGGTGTAGTTTTCTTTGTATTTATCCTGTGTTAGATTCACTGAGCTTCTTGGTACTATGGGTTGGTGTTTCTAATCAAATTGGGAAATTAAAAAAAAAAAAACATTTTTGGCTGATTTTGTTTCTATCTTTTTATACGAGCCTAATTGCATGTATATCAGATCACTTGATATTGTCCTAGAAGCTCTTGATCCTGTCTTCACTTTCATTACATCTATTTTCTCTCTGTGCTTCAGTTTGAGTAATTTCTTTCAGCCCTTTTCAGGTTCACTGATCTTTTCTATTTAAATTCAATGTATTTTTATTTTAGGTATTGTATTTTTTAGTGTTAAGATTTCATTGTTTTCTTTTAGCGTTTTCTTATATTTCTTAGAATTCACCCATCATATACATCTTTTCCTTTATATTTTAACATTTATATCAGTTATTTTAAAGTGCTGTCTGGGTCTAATCCAATATCTGGGTCATCTGGGGTCTGTCTCTATTGATTTGTTGTTTTGATTATGGCTTGAATTCCCTGCTTCCTTACATGTCTAATCCTTTTTTATTGTGTAGGGGAGAATGTTGTAGGGATTCTTGGATTCTCTTACATTCCTTTCAACGGTGTTCAGTTTTATTTTAATAGGCAATTAAATTATGAGCAGCTAATTTTTTTGGAAGTGTAACTGTATTTAAACTTTAATAGATTTTTTTTTCTTTTTTCCCTTAGTCATCTTAAGTCCCAAGATGACGTCCATTCTTCCAAAGCTGGCTCTTTCTGGCTTTGTTGCTGGGGAAACCTTCTCACCCAGTTTTCTCACCCCCTGCCCTTTTATATCACTCAACAAACAAACAGACAAACAAACAGACAGACAGACAAGCGAAAACCCTGTCCTCATCTTGATTCAGCTCAAACTCACTTCCTCTGAGAGGGATGAGAAGGTTCGCAGCTGAGAAAGAGAGAACCAGGGACAACAGAGCAGGACCCACCTGGCATTTGGCATGGGTGCTCCCCATTTTTCTGGCAGTCACTACCTTGATCACTGAGCACTTGTCTCTTTGCCCAGAACTTGTCACTTTTGACCTGTCTGTGCTTTTCTCTTACAGGCAACCATTGGCATTGACTTCTTGTCAAAAACCATGTACTTGGAGGATCGTACGGTGAGTGCCTGACTTTAGAACCGGGAGGACAGGGGATGCTCCTTTGGATCTATCACCTGGACCCCTAGCGGGGTACCCCTGAGAGCCCATGCCTGCCCCCAGAGCTGGCAGTGCCAGCAGCACAGAACCAGGACCTCGCCCACTCCCCACCCCCACCATAAGGAGCTGGCTGCCCCTGCTGACCCCTGCCCTCCCTGCCACAGGTGCGACTGCAACTCTGGGACACAGCGGGCCAGGAGAGGTTCCGCAGCCTGATCCCCAGCTACATCCGGGACTCCACGGTGGCCGTCGTGGTGTACGACATCACTAGTGAGTGTGGTCCTGGCTCACAGGGGCTCCAGGGCCCTAGCGGAGCCCCAGCCAGAGTGTGTGTGCGTGTGTGTGTGTGTGTGTGTGTGTGTGTGTGTGTGTGTACGTACATGTACACACACACTCTAATTGTCTGAATGCAGGAAGGCAGGAGCCTGCCAGTGGGGGTTACTTGCCTTTGAACACGGCGTGTTTTCCTCTTCCCCGCCCTCCTCCGCCGGTCATGGTTGTGCAGGCTGGCCCTGCTCCCAGCCCCTCTGCACCCTTGTTGGCCCTGGCTGCCAGAAAGATCCCATGCAGAGCAACTTCTGTGCCTGTGTGTCAAGGTGGGTGAAGACACTGGTCCCTGGACAAGCTTGCCCCCTGCAGCTGTGGCTCTGTCAGCTGGCATCCCAGCCCCTCACCAGGCTCCCACTAGTCCACATAGCAAGTCATGACACTGTCACCTTCCAGGCGGGGTAAATTCTCGCCCCCAAAGGGTGACTCAGCAATGCCAGGGGCTCTCCAGGGCCCTGGGGCAGCAGCTCCACACACCCACACGGGCCTCCTGTGGAAGGCCCAGACCCACTGGCCTGTGTGGCTGTGCTCCAGCCCCTCCCGGGGTCTGGTGTGCCTGCTGCCCCTTCCTACCTTTTCCCTCTGCCGGTGAGGGCAGCATCTCACTCCCAGTCTTACCCCCCTTTCCATCTCCAGACCTCAACTCCTTCCAGCAGACCTCTAAGTGGATTGATGACGTCAGGACGGAGCGGGGCAGCGACGTTATCATCATGCTGGTGGGCAACAAGACGGACCTGGCTGACAAGAGGTAGGCGCAGGGCTGGCAGGCTGGGCCCACCCTCCACGCCTCTGCAGCTCCTCCTGGACCATGAGTTTTGGGGTGCACAGGTAGCGAGCACCCTCTCTGCCTGTCGTCTTCCCATGCATCTTGGAAAGGTACTGGCGGGTTGCTGGAGGCTTTGAAAGCTCCTGGTAGACCCATGTCATCTCTGAGGCCCCACCTCGCACGGCCGGCAGGGGCAGTTCCAGGGTGCTCCTCTGTGCGTGGTTTGCATGGAGCCCGTGCACCTGGCCCAGCCCCGTAGTACATGGTCGGGGAACTGGCCACAACCAGCAACACAGCTCCTGCTGACTCCTGCTCCTGCTGACTCCTGCTTGTGCTGTGTCTCTGCCCCATGACATGCCCGCACCAGTGTGGGTGTGGGTCTGAGGGTCCTGGCCCCATGTGTTCACCTCAGAGGTTCTGGTCTGGCTCTGTGTCTGGATGTGACCCTCTCTGAAAGGGGCTGCTCCCGGGCACAGGGTTGACGTACATACATGTTGTCCACTTACCTCAGGGGACCCAACTTGGTTAAAGATTATGCATTGTGGGCTTTCTGAACTATACTCTAGCCATTTAAGGAGTAATCTGAATTAGAGACTGTTTTGTTAGAATCCTCTTCCTGACGTGGAGAAAATGGGGCTCGAAGCCTAGCTCCTTTGCTGAGTAGGTGAGCTTGGAGCAGTTCCTTTTCACTTCAGTGTTCTCATTCGGGAAACAGGACCGATGACACCACCCAGAGGGGCAGTATGCGGCCTGCAGCACTTCACACATGTGGTCTCTGGCCGTGGCCCCTGTTGGGAAAGGCAGCTATGGGGCAGCCTCACCCACCTGCCACCGGGCCTGCTTCCCAAGGGGAAGATACTACAGGAGGAGGAGAGAAGGGGCTGCTGTGCCCTGTGCCCCCTTCGTCCTGCTGGGCGGGCCCCTCCTCTCAGGCTGTTCCCTCCATCTCACCCAGGGGCTGCTCTCCCCCGAACTGATGTCCCCTTTCCTCCTCTGCAGGCAGATAACCATTGAGGAGGGGGAGCAGCGCGCCAAAGAGCTGAGCGTCATGTTCATCGAGACCAGTGCGAAGACCGGCTACAACGTGAAGCAGGTAGGACACACCTGTTGCCGATCCTTGGCCCCGCTTGGCCTTAGGGTCCATCTGTGGCTTCTGGCATAGTCAGCCTCAAGCTCAGCCCTGTCTCTCCCCAACGGGTTAGTGACTGGGTTGGGGTAGCCAATCAGAGTGCCCATAAACCCACCTCCTGGGGAACAAGCTTACCCAGAGGTGGTAACGCACGCCATGCGAGAAGGAAGGAGCACTGGCCCTCAGGGGGTGCCTGGAGAATGTCCTCATGAGGTACCATACAGCAGCCAGCCACACGGACCTGAACCATGTGTGAACGCCCAGTCACCAGCTTCCAAGGGCTAAAAGAGGCACCATTTCCTCAGCGGCTAGGGATGGAAGGGGGTGCAGGCGTTCATGCCTTGTGCTTGGCAGAGCTCAGGGGCTGCAGGGTCAGGCAGGCTTGGAGAAAGGAGGCCACCTGGGTGTGCTGGGGCTCACAGGAGGGGGCAGGCCTGTGAAACACAATCATCCAAGGAGCCGTAGAGGAATCCGTGATGCAATGCAGCAGGCCAGCGGACGTGGGCCGGAAAAAGCACAGCTTTATCAGCGCTCACTTCTAAGCGCTCTTTAGCGTCGTTACCTTCAGCGGGGAGTGTAGGCAGCACGCCTGTCCCGGCGGCAGCCCCGTGGCTTTATCACGCAGGGGTCACGGCTGTGCTCTTATCGCCTGGCAGTGTGTTACAGGATCCCGTCACTGCTTCGGTGTCACGGTGGTTCTTAGACACACCGCCAGCTCTCGCTGTTTTACACGTTCGTGCTTTGTCACGAACTTGTGTCTTTAAAGAGCTTAGAAGTGTATTTCAATACTAAGTGGCTTCCTTTGTGCTCCTGTGTAATGGATGTCACACCCTTAGAGGGTGTGTGTGGGTGTCACCAGGCTGCCAGAGGGGCCTGTGGTTCACAGCGGGTAAGGAGCCTCTGCCTCCAAGAAGGAGAGGACTTGGAGAGGTGACAGGAGGTAGGATATCCGGGCAAGGGGAACAGCATGAGCAAAGGTGGGGCAGTTCGGGTGCCTGTGGCCTGGGGAGGGGACACCAAGTGGGGAACATGGCTTGGCTGGGGTGTCACTTCTTCCCGCCGTCCCCGTTGGTGCTCGGCGAACACTAGACAAGCTGCCTGCGTGGCATTGGCCTGGGTGCGGTGAAGATTCACGCCATGTGGACAGTGGCAGTGGCAGTGGGGAAGGTGGCAGAGGAGCAGAGACAGAGCAGGAGCCCCAAGTTCCAGGACTCAATCCCCCAATTGGACTACAACGTCTCCATTCATTCGCACCCCCTTCCCAGCCTCCTCCCCTGTAAGGCCAGGCTGCTGTGGTGTCTCCTGGAGGAGGGAGCTACCCATCCCTGTCCCTGGAGGCATACAGGAATGCTGGCTGCTGCTCTTCGCATCTGAATGGGGAGTCATGGGGGCGGGGCGCAGAGGGGTCAGGGTGAGGGGGGCGCTGATGCTTCCCTTCCTAACATGGTCTGGACCCCACAATGGTCTGAGCAGTTCAGTATGGTTGGTTGAGACTCTGTGGGGTTCAGAGGGCCTCCATGCAGTGCAGACTCCTGGATCCTAACCCTGCTCCTATCTGCTCTCAGAGACCCACAAGCTGCCTTCTGTCAGCTTGGCCGTTAGTAGGAGCGGTGACCATTTTGATGTTCAGAGCAGGGCTGCCTGGGTCAGGGCCATAAAGGAAAGATCCAAGGAGTGACCCAGGCCCTCTGCACCCTCGCCCGATCCTGCCTGCCCCACTCGGAGCCCTTTCTGCAGCACCCATAGGGCCCACACCCTGCCAGGCAGGCCAGTGGCGTCACCCCTCAGGCCCTCACTGCCTTTGGCCCTGAGTGCTCTACAGGGCCCTCATCTGGCCTGGTGCTCCAATAAGGCTGGACTCTGGGGAACCCGGGACTGAGATGCACCCTGTCCTCAGCGAGCTCACGCAGAGACGTTGTAAGCCCAGGGCCCACCGAGTTCCTGCAGTTGGTGTTCAGGGGAAGAAGGGGAGCATTCAGAATCTTCTGGTGCCTTGTACTTGTGCTCTGCATACTGTCACCTCCTCCCTGACACCCCACATACACCCCACACATTTCTCTCCACGCACTTACACACTTACACACACAGAAGCCCCATGTGCACATACACACCGCACACACTCCCCCACACATTTCACAAGTGCGCACACATACAGACACCACACATACTCCACACAGTGTGCACATCACACACCCATCCCCAGGCAAACCCACAATGGCACGTTCACGCTCCAGTGTTGTTCTCTCAGGAAAGTCTCTGTGTGGTGCCCGGGTGGCCCTGGCTCCCAGGGCCCAGCTGCCTCGATGCCCGTGAACGTGCAGGACTTCCTGAGAGGCTCATTTGTCTCAAGGGCAGGTGGGAGGTGGGTTCCCCACACCGGGAACCTACGTGGACCGCAGGACAGGAGCCCTCCTAAGGGCCGTCTCCCAGGGTCCAGGTCATTATCTGCATGGAGATAGGTGCCTTTTAGACACCATGACCCAAGCTCAGTTCCTCATGACCCCTGGCCAGCCTGCCGAGGCCCCCGACGCTGTGAGGGGAGGGGGGGGGCAGGAAGTAGCGGGGGCAGGTGGAGGAGAGAGAAGTTGGTGTAGCCCTGCCCTCCAGGACACAGTCAGTGGGACAGGCAGGACAGTGAAGCCCCAGGGTGGGGTGAGTAGAGTCAGGAGGGTGTAGACACAGTGGGAGCAGGAGGGAAAGCGGGGTACAGAGGGCTCATGCTGCATCTCCCTGTCTCCAGCTCTTTCGACGTGTGGCGTCGGCTCTGCCTGGGATGGAGAATGTTCAGGAGAAAAGTAAAGAAGGGAGTATCCTTTTCGGTGACGAGTGGTGGGAGATGTGCTGGAGAAGCCATTTACCCATCTTAGTACCTCAGAGCAGTGGGCCAGCGCTGGCCTGCCTCCAGCCCAGCTTCCCGCTGGCGGACATGGGATGGGGCTCTGTGCAGGGACGAGGCTGAGTGCCAAGGTCTTTAAGGCCCATCCAGCTCGAACCACCGAAGCTGACCCTTCCCACACAGGGAGGGATACCGGAGGGATGTGTACGGAGTGGTGGGAGGGACGGGGAGGGAGACATAGTGGCGCTGTCCTTCTTTAGAGTGGACATCGATCTGTATTTCGTGGTGTAAGTGGAGTGGCCATTGCAGGGAGGGTTTCTCTCTTTACGCTCACATATGATTTCAACATGGTTCAGCCTGCTCCACACGAGGCAGCCCCCAGCAGATGCGTCCTGCTGCTTCCTCAGCCCAGCCCTGCACAACCCCAGAGCTCGCCACTGCTCCCAGGATAGGGTCATACACCACTCACATGGTCCACCCCACACCACAGGCAACACCAGAACTGGCATGGAAGTTCAGAGAGATCATCTGATTTGCCCAATAGGAAGAAGGTAGTTATTTATTATCTGTTTACTTGTTTACTTATACTCTGCCATGTTATGAAAAATGTGTATATAGATATATTGATATAGGTATACACACACACACATAAAGATAAAAATGCATATGTGTACACACACGAGAGAAAATCAGGGCACAGGTAAAATAAAGGCAGGAAATCAAGGACAAGAAAGAGATGAAGCCATACTCGAAATATATGCCGTGGCTGAATGGCCAACGGTGGCAAGGAGGGAAACTGATCTTCAGGAGAAGCGTGGCTTTTTCTAGCACAGCCATCCCTCTGATTCTGCAGGGGATTGGTTCTAGGAGCCTCCCCCCTTCTGCCTCCCACCTCCTGGATTTCAAATTCCTCGATGCTCAAGCCCCTTCAATGACATGGCGTAGTATTTGCATATAACCTACGCACGTCCTCCCCTATACTTCACATCATCTCCAAACCACTTACAATGTCCAATGCAACGTAAATGCTATGTGAATAGTTGTTAACTGCATTGCTTAGGGAACAATGACAAAAAATAACGTACATGTTCAGTTCACATGCAAGTGTTGTAGGCTTAACTGCACACGTCAGCAACAGCAGAACATTTTCCCCCCAAAATACTTTTTATTCACAATTGGTGGATCCACCCACAGAGGCAGAGCCTGTGGGCACCCAGAGCCGATTGTGCTTATAGGCAGAAGAATCTCTCCTACATCCCTTAAACGGGGCCCCCAAAACATCCCTAGGATGCCAGTAACAGATCCCATAGCAGGCCTCCTACCTCCCACCCCGCTCCCCGACCCCAGAGCAGTCCCACAGCCCCGGAGCCTGGCCAGGAGAAGTCATCCGTGTGCTGTGGAGGGCCTGGTGCTCCGTGTGAGTGGCCTGGCATGGTAGTTTCCAGCCTGCCAAGGGCAGAGGGCAGAGTCTGTCTGTGCAGTTTGAACCCACTGCTCCGGTAGTTCTGATTGGCGCCTCTCCAGCCTTCTCCAGGCCCTGGGCACTGATGGAAAGGCTGGAGAGGGGGCTGTGCTGAGGTCCTCCCTCAGGGACGCGGCATCCTCAGAGTCTAAGTGACGCACACTGACCGGAGAGCTTGAGGGGTCCACGCTGCTGCGGCAGACGAGGACAAGGCCCCAGGAGCCCTGTGCTTCCAGATGTGGGTCCATGCTCTCCACCTTCAGGGCACCTTGGAGTGGGCTGGGGACCCTGCATCCTCCCTCCCCAAGCCAAGCAGAGCCGGGTGTTTATGGAGGGGAAGAGGGGGTGGGCAGGGCAGCTGAGGGGTGGACAGGGAGGGCCTGAGGCTTGGTGGCAGCTTCTCCGTGAGAGTCCTCTTCCTTAGCCCAGCCCCCTGCAGTGATCGACATCAAGCTGGACAAGCCCCAGGAGCCCCCGGCCAGCGAAGGCGGCTGCTCCTGCTAATGCAGCCTGGCCCCAAGGCTTCCTCCGACACTACTACTCGCTTGTTGTGTTGCTTCCTATTGGTTAGCTTCCTAAAGGGGGGTGGGAAACGAGCTTATCCGGATGGGAGGATTTTTCTTTTCTCTCTGTCTTTAGGAGCAAGGTGGGGTGGGGAGGGAGGCCGGGCATCAGGGATCACAGTCACTCTTAACAGCTGTTACTCAAACAACTATTTTTTGGTTTGGTTGTAATATATTGTACTTTATTAAGATTGCCAAAAACGGTTAAAATTTAAAAAAAAAAAAAAAAGAAATTTTAATCATGTGTATACGACTTTTTGCCAGATAAAAAAAAAATGTAATCATTTTTATTTGAAAGATGTGCTTTTTTTCTGTTTTTGTATATTTGTAAACTTACAAGAGAACCTTTTCCCACACACCTCCTCCTTCCTGTCCTCTCTCAACTGTGCATCGACTCTGCCCTCCTCCCAGCCCCCAACCCCCAGCCCAATAAACTAAAACATGAACTGAGCAATCTAATTAGGCTCCAATCCCGGGCCATCCTGCCCTGACTGACCAGGTCCCACCAAACAGGTCCAACCTGGTTAAATAAACCCCTGAACAAACAGCCTCTGAGGAGGCAGCTCTGACCTTGCCCTTCTTCCGTGGCCAGAATGGGACACCAGGCATGGCCCCGAGCTGACATTAAGGTCTCCTGGACAGCAGGGAGCCTGGCCACAGGCCCCACTGCAATTACACCTGCTTCTCCCTTCTCCTCCTGGAGAAGCCTTGAAGGCGGGGCAGAGCACTGGCCACTGGTATTCTCTGTGGCCCTGTCAGTGATTGGCAGAGCAAGAGGTCCCTGGAAGAAAGGAAGGATGGGGTGCTGTTGGCAACTGTGGGTCATGTTGATGTGTGGTTGGTTCGTAGACTTGGGGCACCGTGTGTACTTCTGAAAATGCCTAAACCACCCTGCCCAGCATTCAGCACACATATCTGGGTTGAATCTAAGGGAAGAGCAGAGACTCGTTGTGTGGCCTCAGGGAGTGTTGTCTGCAGAACCACCACCTTAAAGACCCAGGGCCTCGGTTGCTAATACCATTGAGTGCTGATTTGGAAAAGCTGGCTTCTTGATGTGCTTTGCACAATCTTTTGCTGATGTTGTTGCCTAAGAGGAGGGCTGCAGTGGGGTTTCTCTGCCTGGATCGTTGCCATTTTGACTCATTTCTGAGAAGGGCTAAGTCTGAGCACCTGTAAAATCCTCCGAGGAGAACTCTATCTTCTCATTAAGTGATGGAACCCACTTGGCCTGTGTTCCAAATAGACCCGGACTCACCGACCCTGAGCCTGAGCAAAAAAGCCAGGCAGTGAACGGCAACTCTGGCCAAAAAAGGGTAAACCCTCGCCCTCCAAGCTGGCACTGGCTTCCTCCAGGCTGCTGTTGGGCATGTCCCAGGGGAGAGAAAGGGCCATCTGGGGTGTGAATTCCTCCACAAAGCAGTGCTCAAACTATTGCGATGAATTTTTGGAACTTCTCAGAAACGAATCCAAAATCGCAGCCAGTAAGTGCAGCGAAGCCTGGCAGGACCCAATGCTGTTTGTCCAGTGGGCCTGCCACACAGGTTCAGCTAAGGAGACAGAGCGTCAGAGCTGGTCTTTAAAGAGAGATGTATCTTCAGGTGGAGAAAAGAGGGAGCAGAATCCCCGCCGAGTTCCTCTTCCTAAAGGCAAAGACGTTGCAAACGTACGGACGTAATCCCAGTGTCGTGTGTTTAGTTTTTATATGTGTGTACATAATTATATATAGAGATAGACTTGTGTATACACCTCCCACACACATTCTCACAGAGGTACATGTGCTCAACGTATATTCTTGTTCTTCCTGCTCTCCAGTTGGAACTTGCGTTGTGATAACAGTTTTGAAAATTCCAAAGTACTGCGGCGACATGTTGAAGTAAGTAGTACTTAATATTGTCACAAAAAAAACACACACACACACACACACACACACACACACACAAAACTTGTGATTGTCTTGCCATCAATAAAATAATTATATAGATGTGTTAAACTACAGGCAAAACATAGCCCATGGGAATATGTGCACCATTTCTCCTCCTATGTACTTATATGCACGGGTGTGCATGCCTCGTGGGCCAGCACCCCCCCACACCACCATGGCACACCCCCAAGTGGTGCTCGTTGGAAGAGTGCTTATTTACCTCGTGGGAATTTACAGGAGCCCGTGTTACAGCATCCGGCCTGGGTGGCAGCGAGGGCCATTGCTTGTGGCCTCGGGGACAGCCCCCATTTGCAGGGATCTGCCCTGAGCCTCAGTGGCATGAATGTACGGTGGATTTTTATTTTCTTGGTACTAAAGAGTAGCTTTTCTTAAAACATTCCTGTTAAAAAAACAAAAACAACAAAAAGTAGAAACTCAGTTCCTTTCTCACGTGCAGACGTACCCAAGGCACCATGAACTCTGTTCCATCACAGCCTACAGGAGCAGTAAGAGACACGATAAATACCACTTGGTTCGGCGTGGCCTCCGTGAGCCCCGCCTTTCCTAGCAGGTACACAACATCCTCCCTTTGGAGTCCAGGCTCTCCCCAGCCCTGGGGACCTCCGAAGGTGAGGGCAGTTGCCCCATCTTGTCCTCCATCTTGGTGGTGCCATTCCATTCTAGGACCCTCCTCCCCCACTTTGTTTCCTGGCGCCTGTTAGGACAGCCAGATCTCTTGCACAGAAGTGCACTGTTCTTTGGCCTTTGTGTTGAGCAGGCAGGTGCCACCGCTGTCCTCTTACTTAGAGGTAGGATTTCAACTCAGTTCAGGTTCAATCATTCAATGACCAGGTTATGTCTTGACATCACCTTGGCATCCCCCTGTGACTGACATCTTTGCTGAATCCCGATGGGCTAGCACACGGCAAAGTGGAGGACTCCTTTTGGGAAATTATCTCAGTTTACCTGTAGTTCAGTCCCTCTCCTCTAAGACTAGCTCTGACTTGGGAGGTGAGTGGAGTCATCTTCTTTAGGTCTTTTTTCCTTTTTCCCCTTTGGGGATGTCCAAGAAAAGCTGTTGGAAAAGCTCCTGTTTCACAGGCACTGAAAAATCGAGCCTAAGACGGAAAAAGCAGATGCATATTTGAAATGTGCATGCGGCAGAATGAAAGTGTGACGGGAACATCTTGAGTGCTAGAGGTGCAGTTGTGTCGTCCAGGGTGAGCTCGCTTGCTGACTGATAGAAGCAAGTTTCTTTTGCCAGTGGCCCCCCTGCTCTCACCATCACCACTCTCTTCCCATCACTGCTCCCTTCCTGTCAGCATCCTCCAAAATTCTGTCATGTTCCTAGGTCCGAGGAGCGATGGCCAGGTCAGTTCAAGTGTCTCAGGCAACAGAAACAGGCTTGCAATGGTGGTGGTGGCCAGTGCTGGAACCCCTGCCCTCAGGGACCAGATGTGACAACTATGGCACCGCTGGCTTCGGTGTCCTGCAGGCAGTGCAGCCACATTCCTTCACACGGCAAAGGCAGGTGAGGATATCAGAATGTGAGAACAGGCAGCCGAGGACTGTGAGGCGTGTCTGAGCCGCATGAGGGGCAGCTGAGTAGAAGTCTGTCTGTCTGCATCAACCAAGCCGGGTTGTATGCTCATTAGTTTCCAAACTACCTCTTCCCCAAGAATGTGAGGCACTGTCACCTGGCTGCAGCGGTGTGAGGCAGAGGTCTCCAACCTTTCCTGCTTCATAGGCAGGAAAACCAAGATAGAGAAGGGTGACTTCCGAGCAAATCGGAAGCAGTCAGAACCAAGATGTTTCCATCCCCGGCGCCCACTGTGTGTACAAACGTGACCGTGTGCCTGCACATAAAGGGCTGTGTGCGTGGGTGTTCACCAGACTCTCTACTCTGGTTGGGACATGAGGTTCTGTCCAGCATCTGAGCGAGCCAGGAAAGAATCCACGTACATCTCAAGCTCCTCCATTGCAAAGAAGGGCCAGTCCCCAGCTCCACTCTGATTGCTGTGGGCATCCACAGACGAGGGCACCCTTTGCATTTTTGTTTGAACTATTTAGGTGTTCCAAAACCTTGGGCTCTCCTGGACACCAGCCCGGTGTGGGTGATGCTGCCGGTAGTGGGGTTTGGGTGCTTCCTTCCAGCGGGAAGTGTCCGTACGTCAAAAGCCAGACCCTGTTACGATGTGTATCAACTTGCCCCCTCACTTCCCGCGCCCACCCCCAGGAAGGGACTAGCCATGAGGAACATGGAGGGTGGCATGTCCATCTCTTGCTGGCTCAGCAGGCATAAGTGGCCACACTGACTTTACATAAAACTGTGTAAAATGTGGAAGACTCAGCATGTTGATCAAACAATAAACTGTCCTAATTCTCAACGCAAAGCGTCTTGTCTAATATTTCTAAGTGGTTCGATCATATGTGGGGCAGGGGAAGGGTTTGGGTAGGGTGTGGTGTGTGAAAAAGTATTTCCTCAAGTGCATGCTCCACAAAGACCCTCCTATATATGTCTGTCCACTACCCAAAGCCCTCTGCTTCTTTCTCCCTCCCACTCACCTGGGCTTGCCACCAACTCAGAGGGACACACTCACTTCCGTAATCTCCATTCTGCCTGAAGGCTGGTGGACAGGAAAACTCCAGGCAGAACTGAGCCTCAGGGTATGTGTCTTCTGTCTTCCCTGCTCCCCACTGGCCAGGGCTAGGGGTGATCAAGGGTGGGTGCAGGGATTGGATCTCTCTTCCTTCTGATGATTTCCAGGAAGCCATTTAGAGGCAAGAATTGAAGGTGGACCATAAATTCCCCAAGATTACAGTATTCTGGGCAACATGACTTAAGACAGTGAAGGGGTGCATAATCTGAGAATGGCATCACACGTAGGACTGCCCAAAAACTTTGATAATCCTATGCTAAAAAAAAAAAAAAAAAAAAAAAAAAAAAAAAAAAAGCCTAGTGCAGCCGAAGCTGGTTTGGCTCAGTGGATAGAGCATCAGCCTGTGGACTGAAAGGTTCCAGGTTTGATTCCGGTCAAGGGCATGTACCTTCGTTGCGGGCACATCCCAGTGGGATGTGTGAAGGAGGCAGCTGATCGGTGTCTCTCTCTCATCAATGTTTCTAGCTCTCTATCCCTCTCCCTTCCTCTCTGTAAAAAATCAATAATAAAAAAAAAAATTTTTTTTAAATGCCTAGTTCAGTTGAAACAAAAGATCTTAAGTCAACACAAGTACCTCACGCTCACAGGGCCACAGGGAGACACTGGAATCCCCGGAGGCACTGAGACACAAGCCATAGGAAGAAGTGGCAGCCCTATTGGGGCAGTACGCCTGGCCACGCGGTTCTCAGGAACCAGCAGGGCCGTGAAGGAGGTCACGCTGATGAGATGAGGGAAGAGAAGGAGGCACAGAGAATTTGTTGTTTTCCGCCTCCGAATGGGACTGTACACCTCAAGAAGCAGGAATTGTGCTGCAGTCACTATTCCTAGAGCCTGGCACAGGGCTTGTTGTTTTCTGAACGAACGAGTGTCACACAAGGCTCTTGTGAGCAATCAACAATTTAGGGCTTTGTGGTTGGAGAGAAAGTAGGATTACGATTCCTTTCCTGCACAAAAGCCAGGGTAGTAATCAACTTTCTTTATGTGAAAGGTTGAAAGAAGAGCTAAGCATCTTAATATCCTTCAGGTGAGAATGGGCATAAACCAACTGAAGCTTTGACAATTCTGAACTAAACTCAAGTCTTTTTTTTAAAAAGCAGCAACACAACATTCTGGCTGAAATGATCTCAAGACAGAGGACCATGGCCATGTGCCTCACTCTCAGCAGGACCACTGGAATCCCAGGAGGCACTCAGACAGGGGCCATGGGAGAAGGTAAGTGGAAAACCCTAGGGATTCCCCAACAGCATCTGTTCTTGATCAGGAGCTAGGACCCCAGGAAACTGGCAGGCACATGGTAAGGATGGGACCTAGAACCTAATTCCAAGGACCCAGAACCCTTGCAAAAGGGGCTTGAAAGAAGGGCTAGAATAGACAGCAGGGCCGGTGCCTAGACTCCTTGGTCTATCTGCATGTGCACTCCATACACCTGGAAGATTCCATTCCGGAAGCAGGCAGTACTGATCAATGGAGTGCCCAGGGCTTACTCATCACAGCTGTCCCTGCACCGTGGCACCTCTGTGGCCTGCACCTCTCCATGGCAGGCTAGTCATTCCCATGAGGTGGCTGCTGCCGTGGAGGCAGGTGTCAGTACCCCCCCCATACACAGCAGCTCAGATACTGCTGTTCCCAAGGTGTTTCAAGCCCCAAGTGTCTCACCTATGATGTAGAGTCATACCTAGTCTGTCAGTCCTCATGACCTGACATTCCTCATTCCACTCTGACCACACCTGCCCCCATCTCATGATGGAATAGGCCTACTTTGGCTGAATGGCTTCACGGCCAGGAGGATACCAGCAAGGTAAAGAACACATTTGTCTCCCATCAAAACCCCTTCCCAACTCTCATGGGCCAGTCTCCATAACCTCATCCTGACCCAACTCTATGAGTATGAGAAGACTGTAGTGGAAAAGGAAGCAGAAGCGTCCAGGAGGGGTTCTGTGCCCCTCTTCTTATGTCACCCTGTTAGAAAAACTAAAAAGGGTTTGTGACCCAAAGGACTTAAAAACATGCTAAAAGCACACTCCCAGCCAGTTCCTCAGGATGATCCCAGGGGCCCCGTGTGCCTGTAAAGGGATGTTCAGTATGCCGATTCCTGAGGCCACACCAGATCTGCTATCACATTGAATGTTTCAGAGCAGGGTCCTCAGATCAGCTGTTCAACAAGCATCAGAGAATCACTGAGACAGAACTTGCCTTCTTCAGACCACCTTCTTTAGGCCTTGAGTAAAACTCACCATTGCTCCCCTTCTTTAATCAGTTTTGGTGTTATGATTTTTCCAATAAAGTAAAAAACTTTATTAACCAGAGAGAGAAAAAAGCTGAGAGAACCCAGGCCTCTTCACAGCAGCACCAAACCAATGAATTTTATACACAAGAGCATCTATTATGATTATGCAAACATGTCAATTTATCACATTCCTTTTTGATTGCTGGTCCACTGTTCTTACCTACCTCCTTAAATTACTGCTTGGAAGTAAGGAAAGGGCATGGCTAACAGTACAAAGGAGAGGAGAGGCACTAGTAGCAATGAGGCTTTCAGAGAGAACTCTGCCAGGGTTAAGGTCTTAACGTCATCTCAGCTTACATTTATTTCATACACGAGCAGCAGGTGACGGGGTCTGGGGCAGGAGAGCTGGAGTACCCTCATTCAGAGCTAGAGAGGCCCACAGGAAGGGGGACAGCAGGCAGAGGCTTGGGCTAGTGTACCTAGGGACCACACTCACTGGGATGCTGTCAGCTCCATCTGCTTTTAATGATTCTTCCTGATCCCTCAAGGCCGGGTTAGGTGCTCCTGCTGCTTGCTCCCAGAGCACCCTACACTTCTGTTATGGCTCTTACCACACTTCTCAGATTAGCTCCCCACTTATTCATGCCACCCTTGTCCCCTTTTAAGCGATAGTGGGGCTGGACTCTGAGTGTGTGAAGCAGGGATGGGAGAATTTGTCCAGTGTTCACTGCAATCTTTAGGCCCTGGAAACTTAGTTAGGCCTAATCTAATACACACTCCCATCTGTACTCATTATACCATGCTATTTAATTGCTTTGAGCTAAACAGGCTGTTTTACTTACCAAGAAATGTATTAATAATTTATAAAAAAAAAAAAAAAAAAGCCATACATTTAAGACAGCAAATAATATCACTTTAAAAAGGCCAAGTTTTTGTTTTTTTTAACATCAGTGAAATGCACGTTAAAAATCCAGAGAACATTTTTCATTTTGTATTTGTTCCACAGCATTCTAGCTAAGAGTATACAATAGGAGCTGATCAACAGCACAGGAAGATAGCTCAGGAGCCCTCAGCCTCACAGAAAGCAGAACAACTTCTAAATTTCCCATCTACTCCCATTAGGGGGAACCACTAAAACACACCAGACCCCTGGCATTTGGTGAAATAGCACTTACAGTTCTATCACCTGGGAATGATTAATTCCAAGAGTTTGTGACATTTTTTTTTGGAAACTTAAGTGCTATGAGGGTGGAGTGTGGACAAGTCACTGAACTGATGAAGAACAGACCACTGTCAACACAGCCTTGCTGTTTTATACCTGTCTCCACATGTTGGGAGACCATATTGTAATTGTACACACAAATCTAAGAGTTCAAAAGGACTAAATGATATACTGCCCAGGAACCTCAAGGGTAATTGGAAATTTACTGGTTCCATACACAGAGGTTTGTTTCCAGGAAAAAGGAACTTCTCAGATGGTAACCATGTTCTCCTGATCCTCTCTATATGGAGTCTGCTTGTTACGGTCACAAAAACCTTGACCCACATCCAGCCACACTAACGGAACATCACATACACTTTAACAAAGGGAAGGCACACGAGTCAATAAAAGTGACAACTTTGAAAGCCATAAGGGGAACTGGACTTTTAAAAAAATTCCCCGCTGGACTTCAACAATAACTTGTTTCCAGTACAAGGAAATGTTTCTAACTACACCTTTTTCCAAAACTGTCCGTCACCACGTACACATTCCCAGCTGGGTGTCTGGGTTTGCCCCTCAGGCGATTTTAGCCAGCCACTTCTCCAAGTCCTGGATGTCAGCAGAGCTGGCGTCTCCTCTTCCACCCTTGGCACTACACTCCACGAACTCCACTTTGAGGGGCAACTGCGAGAATTCAAATTCTTTGCCTTTCTTTCCCAGCTGAGCGGGGGCTGTGCTGGAACTGTCCAGTGTGCTGGGGGCAGCAGAGCGGGTGACTCGTAAAGTGTTGCTGTGAGGCAAAATGAAAGAGTCAGGAAGTGAAGAGTTTAATTTTTAATATCACAGTTAAAGGCCTTTAGGAAATCAAGATATTTCCTAAATATCTCAGCACTCATTTAGATACTTAATCATGAAACTGCCAATTATGCTATCATGACTGTTGGATAATCCTGTGCATTTATAAATCACTCTCCTGGGTAAAAAGGTGAGATGGGGTCCAACCTGCCATGCTAGATGACAGCAGTAAAAGGCCCAGGTCACACCAACCTCCTTGCAGCCCAGTGCCCCATCACCAGGCTCTCCTGCATGATGCCATTTTTAAATATAGGATGTCCCCCCTCCCAAAAAAATGTATACACAGGCTTTGAATTAATTATAAATTAAAATACATTTCATTTTCAAAATTGAGCTATCAGCTACTAAAGTTTGGGGATACCCTGTATGTATGTGTTTTTTAAATATATGCTCTAAGTGTTATAAAAATATGTTTCGGAAATTTAAGTGTACGTAGATAGGGTAATTATGTATATCTTTAGTCTTTTGAATATAGAGCTTAGAAATCCACAAAATCCAGATTCTCATATCCTATTTGGGCACAATTACTATTCTTCAACTTCTTTAACCACTAAAACCTTCATAATTTAAATCGCCTTACTGCCACCTGCTGGCCCTAATAAACAGTACCTAAGCAATGCTCATGGGTCTACTCCTACCCTTTCTGCCATCTAAAGCAGAGGAACACATGCTACTAATCTGCTTTCTTACAACATAAAGCATTTCTTGCTGCAGTGACATTCATGAACATTAGTGAAGAATCCACAGGAAAAACGAAACACTACCTTGCTTATAAAGACAAACACGCGCCTTTGGGAAAAGTATTTTAAAAAACAAATGCAAAATCAAAATATTACCTACCTCAAGGATAAAAGGGAAAAGCATTTGGGAAGAGCACATAGGGCCCATAGCTTTTGTGAAGGAGTTAAGCAAGGAGGTGGGTTAATGGGTATTTATTTTAATACTCTTTAAACTCAATACATGCATTATATATTTTCCTTTGTATATAAGATATTTTATAATAAAAAACTTAAAAGGAAAAAAACCCAAACATTATATGTATTCAGCTCTTGCCATAATGCCATGTATACATAGTAAACCTTACTATTCAGAAGACTAAAATGATTCAAAGCTGACAGAGAATAATTCGCACTAACAAAGGATTAAACTAAAATTAGACTCCTACTTTAACTGATATTAGCCTTTATAAATTTTTAAACATTTTACTTCATTACAATACAGCATTTCCTTCTGGGTTGTTTTCTATGGCTCTTTAGAGTGAAAAGCAAATGAACTAAGGAAAGCGTGTTTTAAACATGGAAAGACTTGAACTATACTGTTAAAAAAATATATACAAATAATATGATTTTTTTTCCTAAAGGTAATTTCCAACAATTGCAACAGACTATTTAGATACACCAAAATCATCTACTTGTTTCAATTTCAGTAACCTAATGATAAACAATATGTAGTCTCTGGAGAGTGAACATAAAGAGAATGGGAAGAGATGATAAACATGCAATTTTAGAAGGAAGAGAACTTTGAAAGCAGCAAGACAAAAGTCAACTGTCACAAACAAGGAAAAATCCCCTAAGTCTAAAAACCTTACAGGTCAGTAGAGAGTGGGATGATATATTCAAAATGATGAAAGAAAATAACTATCAACTAAGAATATTATACCCAGCATAGTTGCCATTCAGATATTAACCAAGAGAACTTATTCATACTTACAGTTCTTTCTCAAGTTGTTGCTGAATTAACTTTGCTGATTTCGCCATTGTAATGTCTATAAAGAAAGGAGGACACTGTTATAATTTAAACCAAAAAGGGTCTTTTCCCATGACTTCTTGTATATATGGGAAATTCCTATTTAAACCAGTACATTTCAACCTCACACATATTCTTTTCATCCTCACCCAAGGATATTTTTCCATTGATTTTTAGAGAGTGGAGGGGAAGACAGGAAGGATTTTGTGTGTATGTGTGTGTGTGTGTGTGTGTGTGTGTGTGTGTGTGTGTGTGAGAGAGAGAGAGAGAGAGAGAGAGAGAGAGAGAGAGAGAGAAATTGGTAGCCACCAATCTACAACATAGGTACATACCCCTGACCAGGAATTGAATCTGCAAAAACCCTTTGATACACAAGTCAGCACTCCAACCACTGAACCAGGGCCACACATACCTTTTTTTTTAAAGAAAAGGAAAAAAAAAGCTACCACTAGTAGCTTCCTTATCAAAGTAAGCTTTACATCTGGATGAATGGGTTTTCCTATAATACAAATATATTAAGCTGGTGACTCTAAAACTGAATAGCTCTTTCATGAAAGTTTTCCATACCTTACAGGTATTTTAATTCAACATATATATATAATTCCCACCAATCTAACAAAAATAAAACCTTACTAATTTTATGATTTTTAATAAGAGTCTTCACTCTATCAGAAACATCCTACCTGTCATATAAAAGTAAGCTAAGCATATTGCCACCTGATATTAACTTTGCATGTTACAGCATCAAGTGCACATTGGTAAGAAACAAGCACTGGTGTGGCACACAGCTGAAGTCAAATAAATATTACCTCCCCTTGTTATACTGAATAGGAGAAATAAAGAGAAGGTCAGGTAACGATCATAAGACTAATTCCTGATTTTACATTGTTAGATTACCTGATCACTTCTTAGAAATGCATTGGGGCTCTTCATTGAATCAGAATTTCAGATCTGAAAGAGGCCTGTAAAGATCAACTAGTCTATCTTATTTTAGAAGTAAAGAAACTGAAGCCTAGTTTTATTGGGTGTGACTAAAAAGTTTTTAATTGTTACCAGGTTAAAGAAAAACTTCTGCAAACTCCCCTTGGGGAAACAGAGTAGATGATGAACTTGTTTGAGAGACTCCACTTGCTGAGTATCTAATATGACATATTGTCAATCTGATGAAATTAACTAGGTAAAGTAAAATGACTCACAATTTAAAAAAAGCAAAACACTGTATCAAAGAAAAAATTATTATAGTCACTCCTTTGTCATGCCTTAAAGTAACATGATAATATTAATAAAAATACAGGAGTATAAATTTTAAGAATTAATATCCTTCAATATATAGTTTAGCAATTGTATCTCCTCATGAATAATAATAACTTAGGTAACTATATTAATTCTTAGCAGCAATCCCAGGAAAACCTCAATTACTATTGCCAGAAAATGTGATGGCACCTTGTTTATTGCAGACGATTAAGAATGATGGTGCGTTCTTCAGACTCATGCTGTCAATGAGGACTTGATACAGAAACTCAGCCACATCCTTCACCTCTCGCTGGAAGGCTGCACTATCCACAACGAACACAACAGCCCTGGAGGGGGAAAAATGAAAAACTGGCATGTCAGCATTCAATATTTTAAAATTATATCCTTAATTTTTCTTTAAGAGAAAAATCGATCCCAACAATAGAATTCTATACTCTATAAAATTTTGACATGAATGCATACACTAGAAAAGAAGACAAACCTAAAATCAATAAACTAAGCTTCTACCTTAGGAAGCTTGAAAAATTAAGACAAATCAAATCTAAAATAAGCAGGAGAAAATAAATAATGAAAGTTAAAGCAGAAATCAATGAAACTGATAACTGGAAATCAATAGAGAACACCAACAAATCCAAAAGCTGGTTCTCTGAAAAAATAATCAACAATAAAATTTATAAACTTCTAGCCAGGCTAACTAAGAAAAAGAGAAAGGACCCAAATTCCTAATATCTAAAATAAAAGAAGATATTACTACAGATCCCATGGATTTTCAAAAAATAATATGAACAACTCTATACTGACCTATTTGATAACCTAAGTAAAGTGGTTCAATTCCTTGAAAGGCACAATCTACCAAACTCTCACAAGAAATATACAACCTGAATAGGCCTACAACTATTAAAGAAACGGAATCAATAGGGCAGTGAAAATACTCTGTGTAATACTATAATGGTGAATACATGTCATTATACATTTGTTCAAATTTTTAGTCTGTATAACACCAAAAGTGAATCCTGGTGTAAAATATAGATTCTGAGTGATTAAGATATGTCAACATAGGTTCATCAGTTGTAACAAATGCATCAATCTGGTGGAGGATGTTGACAACAGGGGAGACTATCCATTTGTGGGGACAGGAATATATGGGAAATCTATGCCTTCTGTTTAAATTTTGCTGTAAACCTAAAATTGCTCTTTAAAAAATTAGTTTTTAAAATCACACCAACAATCTCATCTGTAATAGATTGCTCATCACCACCATCTTGTGGCCAAGGAAGCAACAATAAAATATAATACATCTTCAAAAAATAAGTAAAAAAACTATCATTTCATCCATCAAACTTAAGATTCCATCAATTAAAAGACATTATTTCAGGTACAACTAAGAAAGAAAAATATTGTGAATTATCTATGATACTATCAACTATAAATAGCATTTCAATTTAATAGATATTAAAATGTGTCTTAAAAATCAGTGAAATCTGGTATATTAATTTTCCTCTTGAGTTTTTATCAGAGTTAGAAACTAAGTATAAGCAACTTAAACTGTAGCACAAGAATTTTAGGAAAAAAGAGTAACATTAAAACAATTTTAAGCCGAAACCGGTTTGGCTCAGTGGATAGAGCATTGGTCTGCGGACTGAAAGGTCCCAGGTTCGATTCCGGTCAAGGGCATGTACATTGGCTGCAGGCACATCCCCAGTGGGGGGTGTTCAGGAGGCAGCTGATCGATGTCTCTCTCTCATTGATGTTTCTGGCTCTCTATCCCTCTACCTTCCTCTCTGTAAAAAAAATCAATAAAATATATTTTTTAAAAATTTAAATATGAAAAAAATACTGTTCTGTACTTTTGAGGTATCAATTTTGTGTAATTCAAAAATATAAATATGTAATGTTGGACTTTAATAACTTCTAGGATTCCACCTACCCTTAAAATTCTTCTTTCAGATTTTAATAGTTCTGTACATTATTATCTCTGTCCCCAGAGTAACTGAAAACTTTATTAACATGATAATAAGGGTTAACACTTTATGAACACTCTTGAGAAACAGGTCAAATGTTACCTTACATAATCCTCATAAAACCCTCGTGAAGGTAGGTTTGCAACGCAGACTGGCTGACCCCAGGGTCCAGGCTCTTTCCACTCCAGGATACCAGATGCTTCCCAAATACCATCAGAGCAAACATGTTTTGATATACAGACTTCAGGCAAGTCCATTCCACTTCTACTCACCGGGCTGAAGCCTTAAACCGCTCTAAAAACTGAAGTCTCAAGCTTTCGTGGCCAGGGAGGTCAATCAAGGTCAGGTTACTGCCCTAAGGATGGCAGTAAAAACGTTAAATTAATGTTTTGGTCCTGATTCACATACACAACATAAACCTTTCATATCAGGTTTCAGGTACCAGAAGAGTGGCCAATTAATTAATTTAAAAAATGTTCACTCTATTAATCAATGAATCAAACAAATGTTCACCAAGTATCTTCGATTTGTAAATCATCAGTCGAGGAAAAATGAACAAAAACAGACATGGTCCCTGCTCTAACAGACCTTATGATCAGAAATATCAACACAATGTAAAATTACAAAAATGTAAATGTAAAATTACAACTCTGATACATGTTCTGAGGGTACATGAGAAAACCTGGCCTTGTCTGGGGGAGTCAGGGAAGTGTGGTCCATTGGAGGCTGGGGAGATACCCTAGTGTAAATAATAGCAAAACTAAATAATATAAGACTCTATATTTTACCATATAGCTTGTTACCATTATAAGGATCCCCAATTTTTATAATAAAACATTCTTTTACATTTCTACCATAATTTAATTTTAAATATATCTACCAGACACATCATTTGTTCTAACTCTGTCAATATTTTGTGTCAATTCTTGGTCCAGATAACAATCATTGAAACAAGGAGGACTGTGCCCTACGAAGCAGACTCATTAAGCACCATTTACGTACTATTTATTCCAGGCCTTCATCCTAAAGCTCAGGTTCAGTGTAGATGTGACCATGCCCAAAGGCAAGACTCTCAGGTACAGCTCTGGCACATGTATCGTAAGACACACGAATCATTTCTCAGATACTCTACTTTATCCATAGCCATCCTTAACCACTGTTTAGCAGGAGGAAGTCAGTATCACTCAGATTTGACATAAATATAGCTGAACTTATGATCTGTCACTTAGTCTGTGAGTCTTTTATGGGCAAAAATATGATGTGTTGTTTTTTCTAAATAGAGGTAAGAGTTTAGGGACCTCAGGTTGGGACCCACTACCACATTTCATAATCAGCACTGCAGCAAACACTATTAAATAGTCCATAGATCTGACATTTTGAATTTTTGTCCCATATGCATGTATTACATATTTAAGACATAAGAGAAAAGAGAAAGGCTTGATGCTCACCCTTAAGACACAAATACTAATAAAATGTAATGTAACATCAGTGTACATGAGGTACAACAAAGGAGGGAGGCTGTGATTAAATTGTTCTGGATGGTCAAGACCAGAATTTGTCACATGGATTCTATTTATCCATAACAATAAGCTACAACCTTAGACTAATTTCTGTTAGAAATGTCCTTTCCTGACACACCATAGTGAAGTAAAATGGTCACGACTCCCAACATTCTAGGAACTGCATACCCTGGAATTGTTGACTCGGTACAGAGCAGAGCTGTCAGTGATGGAAGTCTGAGTGTCTCTGTAAAGGCCTGTTAACAACTGTAAAAAAAATAACATGGGTGAGATCAGTGTAAACATGTAAGTAGCAAACTTTAAGAGAGTAATTTTGTTCTAACGCTCCTAAGTGGTCCAATAAATGAGTGTTGCTTGCAGAAGGTGAAAAGAACCATGCTGACTTTTTTTCCCTTTACTTGTAGAAAAAAATCTAATCAATTGCAAACTTTATTCCCCTCTACCCAATTGAGGGAGGGAGAATCCCTGCTTTTTTCAAATAAGAGTTTCAAATAGTTAATGGTCAAATTTCCAACTTTCCTTACACCTTTTTAATTACTAAAATACGTATATTTCTTTATTGAAAGGAAAGTCTTTTATACTCTCAAAAGGAAGAATGAGAACATCTCTGCTACTCTCCATAGTAAAAAAACAAAACAAAAAAAAGCAAAAATACTAAATAGATTAAAAATACTACTGAAAAGAAACCTAAGGAGCCCAATGACAAAAACTTAAAAATTTTCTTTGACAAGCTATCAGGAAGAGAATACTGTACAATGGATTATACACCATATACAGATCAATGTCTTCTCTCTTTCCAGGACTTCTGGCATTCTAACCATAGCATGAATGTAGTTACATAAAACCTTTAAATGGGATAAGGACTAAATTTGGTAAGCACATGAAAATAGAAATGGTCAAAAAATTCCAGTTCATGAGTTTCCAGCAGTCTTGTCCTTTCAGGTGAGTCAAGAATTAACTCCCTAATTTATCACCATCATAAATCATGACCTGACAGAAATAATGGGATGCCCTCAATTTTCCTATCAAGTTTGAGAGAGACGTAAATCAAAGCATTTACTCTGACAAAGAGCAACGTCTTCCCGGAGTCACAAAGGCCAACAAGAAGAACAGCTCTCTGACTGCTCCTTCGGCTGCGGATGAACTTCCAGATCACTGTGGAAGAGAGAAAACGAACCAAGATTACGCCTTATCAACAACAGTACGTGTGTACGGTTGGGGCGAGGAAGTTAACAGAAGTCTACAACAGAACACCGCAATTATATGAAACTTAGTTTTATTTTTTATTACCACCGTTATAATAGTTATTGTTGTATAATAGATAGTGGGTACTGGCCACTATCAAGTATCAACTTTTTATTATTATTATTAAGGTATCACATATTTGTCCTTAACCCCCCATTCCAATCCCTCACCAACCCCCACTCATGCCTCCATTCCCCTATTGTCCTTGACCACTGATTAGGCTCATATGTGTGCACATAAGTCCTTTGGTTGATCTCTCCCTTTTATCCCCACCCTCCTTTTGAGGTCCAACAGTCTGACCCATGGCTCCTGATCTCTGGGTCTGTTCTTGTTCATCAGTCTATGTTGTTCACCATTTCCCCTAGATGAGTGAGATCATGTCCTACTGGAAATATAAGAATCAAAACTGAGACAAGCAATAATCGTTATACTGAAAGGCATATGAATCAGTCTGCAGTGAGTTTTTTTCCCCGGGCCAACAGCTCTTTTGAGACCCAATTTCGATGTCAAAAGGTTATCAACTTTTGTGTGCACCCCCTTTCCCGACTGTGGACCCTCTAAGTGCAATCTCGTCTAATAAATTCTGTATCCCCAGCGCCTAGCAGGCAAACACGCGACGCTCGAACTTGAAGGAGAGGCCCTGTGAGCCTTGGTAGTAAAAGCAATCTAAGGGGGTCACCACACTCTCAGCGTGAACAGGGGCTGAAGAAGAGTAATCGGTTCCCTGAGGACTAGGACATACATCCCTTCCAGGGTCGCGAGGGTTCCCCTTTAACTCAGCGTTGCTCCCACTGCTTGGGGCAAGGGGACAGTGTGTCATCAGGGGTGAGTCTTCCTCAATGGACGACCCTCAGGTGCCTTCTCCGCCCGGTATCCTCCCAATCCAAGCCCGCACAACCACCGCCGCCTCTTTACCCAGCGTCAGCAGCACCGCGAGAAGCGCCACCACGACTGACACCAGCGTCGGGTCCCTCTGCTGCAGCTCCTGCCGCAAGGAGTCCAGGTACGGCTGGAAGGCGCCCCCGGCACCACCACCATCGTTCCCCATTCGCCTGGAGTCCGCGGAAGCCATGCTGAGACGCCTGCGTGGTCTCCTGCGCCGTAAATGCTACGTGTCCCTGCGCTCTGCGCAGACGTATGAAGCGGAGCATCACGGGAGTGGTAGTCCTTGAGTTGTATATGTTCTCCCCGAGGGCCATGGTCCCGAACTTCCTGATGGGAGTTGTAGTTCTATCGCACCGTTCGTACCCTGGTACAGTGCGTACCTGCTGCTCACGCGAGCTGGGGCCACCGGAATTTCTCGAGTGAGGCTTTTATCCTTTTGAGATAAATTGTCAAATGTCGCCACCCTCTTCACTCTTTTGACAGAATGCTGGAGGAATAAAATGAGTGGCTTGAGAAATCTCCCATGAGGATTTCCAGTCGCTCCTTTCCTCAGGTGAGTCTTGTGATGAACTCAAAACGTTACAGATACATTTCTTTTTACTTGTTGATGGATTTTTTTTTTTTGAGAGTATTAGAGATGTCCCCCATTTTCCCTCCTTCAACCCAGCCCCCGCCCTACCCCACGGCTTCACGGCGCTGTAGTCTGTGTCCATGGGTTATACATACAAGTTTTGGGGGGTTAATAAAAGTTTTTTGGGTAATCTCTTCCCGTCCCTCCCAATCCCGTCCCCTCTGAGATTCGCCAGTGTGTTCCATGTACCCATGCCTGCGAATGTTTTGTTCGTCAGAGTATTTTGTTCATTACATTCCACATGTGAATGAGGTCATGTGATACTTGTTTTTCTCTGATTGGCTTCTTTCGCTTAGCATCATACCCTCCATGCTGTCTTAAAGGGAAAGAGACCCCCTTTTTTTTTTTTTTTTTTTTTTTTAACCGCTGCTAAGTTTTTCATGGTGTAAATGTACCACAGCTTTTTTTAATCCCGCTCATCTGCTGATGGGCACCTGGCAGTTTCCACACCTTAGCTACAGAAGCATTTCATCTGAATAGAACGTGGCATGGGATGTGACAGAGGATGGACGGTTAGATACGGGGATACAGAGAAGGATGCTTAGTCCATCATGGGGTCAGAGGATATCTCCTGGAGGAAGGTGACTGGGATGGAGCCGCGAAGGATGAGTTAGCCCCTAGCCTCTGTCGGTGTGAAAGGAGAAAGGATGTTCTGGGCAAAGGCAAACAAGCAATTCAGTGTCCCTACCCTGTGACCCACGGCTGCAACTGAGAGGTCTCCTTCATCAAGGAGATGAAGGCAGCCAGGAAAATCCGTGGGAGGGTGGGAACTGTTGAAAACGGCAGCTGTCATTTCCACCCAACGGGGCAGCCATAACCTGCCAGGCATGTATATGGGACCAAAGTGGGCAGTTCTTCCAGTTTTTAAAAGAATACTCACTTGCAACCCAGGTATGTGGCACTGACTGGGAATAGAATCTGAGAAACTCAATATATCCAAAAGAGAGGCAATTTTCTCTCTCTCTCTCTGTCCCTCCCTTCCCATCTCTAGGATGTGTTTAGAGATGGGAAGAGAGGGACAGAGAGCGAGAAAAACATCAACTGGTTGCCTCCGGTACAAATCCCAACCAGGAATTGAACTTGGAGCATCAGGTATGTGCCCTGACTGGGAATCGAACCCACATCATTTTTGATATACAGAATGATGCTCCAACCAACTGAGCCACTCAGCCAGTAATGGAAAACTTTCAAAAGTTTGTGACCCAAATAACATCATTGGGCCAGAAGAGCCAGCCTAGGGACTGCCATTTTGCAGACTCTGTCATGAAACAGGTGTCACTTCCGCAGAAGTGGCAGGAGATGAAGCAGGAAATGTCAGGAATCAGATCTGAAGGGACTGCTGTGCTGAGAGACCGGCTGCATTATACAGGAATGCAGTAAGACGTGGGTGGCAGTTGAAGGTGACATAGATGATCGGCAGGTCAATAGAAAACTATCGTTTGGGAGAGAAAATACTGGAGATAGGGAGACCAGCTGGGGACTGTTACAGTGTTTTGCAAGTGATGCACAAGGTCTGAATGAGGGACAGAGGTAGGTGTGGAGTGCACCAATTGGACAGATGTGTAGAAGGAAAATATATAGGGTGTGGTGATTAATTGGGCATTCTGAGTTAAGACGAATTATCAAGACTGCATCTGAAGTGGTAGGTGTGGCTTACTCAGGCTATCAGAGTACATAAAGTGGATTAGAACTCACTTAAAGGGACTTTGGAGTTGGGAACAGAGCCAGAATGAAAATTGCCTCTCTTTTCTGGTGCCTCTGGGTAATAAAAAAAAAAAAAATCTTACATCACATAGGCGATACAGGAAACAAATGGAAAGTTTCAGCAATAGGTGCTAGACTTTCACTAGGGAGTTGGAAACAAATGGTCATTAAGATCATGGCGAGCTTGAAGAGAAAGGAACCCATAAAGAGGCCTAAGAAGGAAGAAGCAGCAACACGGGAGTAAAGCATGTCCTGGAAGTGGTCAGCAGCATTGCTTTAAACTGAAGTTCCTGCCGAAACTGGTGTGGCTCAGTGGATAGAGCATTGGCCTGGGGACTAAAGGGTCCCAGGTTTGATTCCGGTCAAGGGCATTGGTTTCAGGCACATTCCCAGTGGCGGGGGGGGGGGGGGGGGGCAGTACAAGAGGCATCTGATCAATGTTTCTCATCGATGTTTCTAACTCTATCCTTCTATCTTCCTCTCTGTAAAAAATCAATAAAATATATATTTAAAAAAAAAAAAAAAACCCACAGAGGTTCCTGTGATGAGGGCTTGAGTAAAAAATGAGCTCGGGGCCCTGGCTCATGTGGCTTGATGGTTAGAGTGTCTGCCTGTGCACTGAAGAGTCTCAGATTCTATTCCCAGTCAGTGCCACATGCCTGGGTTGCAAGTTTGATCCCCTGCCCTGGTAGGAGTACGTGTGGGAGACAACCAGTCAATGTATCTCTCCCAATGTTTCTCTCTCTCCCTGCTTGGGGGGAATAGAGGGGTTAGGGTTGGCAGTGGGGTCATGGATATGGAAGCAAGACTGTGGTAGGTGAAGTGGATAGGTAATTGCTAACATTAATGAGTACTTGCTAGTAGGCATTGTCCTAAATACTTTTAATTTATTAATTGGTTTAATCTTCGCAGTGACTCATGATCCTAATTTTACAGAGAGCAAACTGAGTCAGGGGTTAACTAACTTATTCATTGATTCCAGGCAGTTGGAATTCTCTATATTTACTATCTGCTCTGACATAGTACAATTCATTTCCCAGGCACTTCATCAATATGATAGGCAATATGGATGTTTAGGATGTGAGGTTAAAGTAAACCAACTACTTTGTAAAATAAGCATAATCAGTTAAAACAATCAGAACTGACAGTAATTATATCTTATGATCCCAACCCCTGCTCTGTATGTGCCACTCAATACACACACACACACACACACACACACACACACACACACACACACAAACACACACACCTCCTTTATAATAATCATCAATTCATCTGTTATGAACTAAAAATGCAGGGAAGGAGGATGGACCAGACAAGGAGAGCACACATCATAACTGACCTAACTGTGAGAATTTTTAGTCAGAGTTATGTGAATGAAAAAGTACTGCCTTGGTGATGAAATTTGGGAATGATAAAAGGAGAGTTTAGGAAGACACAATCATTTTATTACCAATTTCTTTCCTGGGTATCATGAAAACCAAAGAAATGTGCACACTTTCCACACCCAAGTGAGAAGGTGGGGGCTGCCGTTCTCAGGAATGAGAGCAGGAGAGGATGGGATCAGCTGCTTGCTATCCTCTCACGGGTCCACCTCCTGGACACCACAGGCTCCAGGATCTCTCTGAGGATGGATGCAGAGGAAGGACATGCAGATAAAGGCAGCAGAAAGTGTTCTGCTGAAAGAGTTCTGCTCCTTGATTCAAATAGCAGATGGACAGTTGCTGCGAAACAAAGTGTAGTGATACAATTTTTTTTCCTCTTCCATTAATTAAAATGTCTCATTCACCAAGTACATCCTTATCTCCTCTCTTGTTCCCAACAGTTCCAAAGCACAATGGAACCTATCTCAGACTCAGGGACACCAATTATGTGATTCCCTACTCTGGCTTGTCTCTTTAATTGTCTTTTTGAAAAAATATTTAGAGGATTTTTAAAAAGAATTAAAATGAGTTATACTTATTAAAAGCTCAAACAGCCGAAACCGGTTTGGCTCAGTAGATAGAGTGTCAGCCTGCAGAATGAAAGATCCTGGGTTCGATTCTGGTGAAGGGCATGTACCTTGGTTGCAGGCACATCCCCAGTAGTGGGTGTGCAAGAGGCAGCTGATTGATGATTCTCTGTCATCAATGTTTCTAACTCTCTATCCCTCTCTCTTCCTCTCTGTAAAAAAATCAATAAAATATATATTTTTTTAAAAACAAAAAACTCAAACAATAATGAAAGATCATGGAGGCATGGAACTGACTGACATACCTTGAGGTGGGGTTTGGGGTATGAGAAGAGATTAATTACATAACATATATGCATAGCCCATGGACATGGGCAACAGGGTAGTGAAGACCTGGAGGGTGGATAGGGGCTGGGAGGAAGGAGTTAATGGGGATGCGGGGAGAATGGGAGATATCTGTTATACTATCAACAATAAAAAATATATTTTAAAAAAATAATGAAAGGTCAAAGAAGGCAGCCACAGATCACCTCAACTTTTATACCTATAAGTAACTGGTGAACATTATTTTAGGCATTTCTCTGTACATATATATGGATAAGAAGGCAATCTAGAAAGAGGGATAAATAAAAATACACAGAAATTATTTTAAGGAACTATAGCATGCACTGCTATATTTGCAGTCCCTAGAACAGTGTCTGGCTCATGGTAGGTGCTTAGTACATTGTTGACAAAGGTAGATGTGTTGTCTCATTGTAGTAATACAGACTACACTCCATGGGATATCTCACCAAATAAAGGGAAAGGAAGTTATTATAGGATTTGGGGTAAGGGTGGAGTTTTGGTGAATTATTAAAAAAGGCAGAGTGCTGATTGGCTCAAAGCAAAGTAGGGCTGTTGTGAAAATGTGAACATCAGGTCTTCACTGCAAAGTGGACCTAGAATCCTGTTTCCATGGACATTAGAAATGTAAGAGAGATGTGGACGGTTGTGTCCAGAAACTCCTTTCTGCAGCTCCATTCCTGAGTGTAAATTGAGGCTATGGAAGGAGTTTGGAAATAAAGGGACAAACTGGAGAGTTGTTTAGAAGGCAGAATGAGCAGAACTTGCTGACATTGGACATAGAGTGAAGGAAAACAGTGAGCTGAAATTTGACTCCTGTGCGGGTACAAGACCATGACTTTAGCTGGTGTGAAATATATATAAACAACAGTTAGGTTAGGGAAGCAGGAAAGGGAAGGGGCAGAATGATCATTTCAATTTTTTGACTTGTTGGATTTCTGGTTCCTGTGAGAACTCTACAAGTATAGACACCCATAATAAGGAGCAGGGGGGATGAGTGTGGGGACACGGAAGGCAGGAGGCAGAAATATAGATAAAGATGCCGAAGAGTCACTCACATTGTTTAGGGATGGCCTGCAAAGTGAGAAGAGTGCTGGGTCAAGAGAAAACCCGCAGAATTATGTCCCTACAATTTTAGGGCTGACAGGATGAGCCCAAAGTAAGGCCGCAAATGGACAGAGGGACTACCAGGGCAGAGAAGCTGGACACTTCCAGGGTTTACCCAGGTGACCTTAGCCAGGGTAGCTAAAGAGAAGTGAGTGGAACGGAAGGCTGATTTCCGTATGTGCAGCCTTTGATAATGAAGGAAGCATGGAAAGAGCGAGCCTCCATCTTTCAGGAGCTTGACTGGGAAGGGGAGGAGACCGGGCAATGACTGCTGTGGGAATTGGGGTCAAGGGATGATTTTTAGCGAGAAGATGTCCCAGTGATTCACTTTTCCAACCAGTTAGAATCAGGATCTCATAAAATTCATTTAAAAATTTTTATATAAATATTTTATATTCTTTTTCTGTAGTCTATCTCAATAACTCACTCTGCATCCTCCTTTTTGCCTTTTCCCTAGTCTCTCTCGCTCTCTCGCTCTCTCGCTCTCTCGCTCTCGCTCTCGCTCTCTTACACACACACTCACACACACACACACACACACAGCCACATACACTGGATTCCATTATAATGACCATGCAAACTCCTTTTAGAAAGAATTCCTAGTGGGACTGTGCCCAGGAGGTGTGGCTGTGGTACCACAACTGAAGCTGTGGGAAGGATCAGATCTTGAGCTCTGAAGGAAGGGCTCAATTGCACACATATTTAGATGGATGGTATAGAAGAAATCTTTCCAGGACAAACATTTAGAAAAGAATTAAGTTTTTAAAAGATAAAACCAATAATATTTTTTTATTTATTTCCTGCACAGATGTCAACATTGAACTATGAAGGCAGCCAAAAAACCACTCAGGCCAGCGAGACCAGGGGACAGTGATGGGTCACCTGAGCTCTCATCTCCATCAGCTCATGGTCCCGTTTTTGGAGTTACATGTTTATGGAAAGTGCAGGCTTCCAGGAGTTCTGTAGGGGAAGAAAAGAAAGGTAGGAAAGTCAGTGTATACCTATATTTATTTTCTGTCGAGTGAATGAACAGTTAAACCTGATACAAAAGCATTCAGACCGTAGAATGGACCAGTCATTCTCTCAGTGGCCTTCCCCGCTTGCCTGCATAGCCCTTGTGCCTACCCCAGGTCATGCCCCATGCCAAAGATGGTAACACAATTTCCCTGCCCTGCATCATCCCTCACTTGGTGTCTTATAGGCAGAGCTCCTACACTTGAGTCCATGTGATTGAGAGGAACCTGTGAGTACTGTCCTCTCTGACCTCTTTAGGCTGGAAAAGAACCACTCATAGCAAGATGCATTAGGCACCTGCATGTTTCAGTTTCCGTACTAGGGGCTGGGATGGAACAGAGAACAGCAGAGCCGGACTTTCTCCCCTCTTAGAGGATATAGGTTAGATAAATATAACTGGGTGCTCACAACAGTGGCCATGGGCAAGCATGTTCCTTACATCAAAATCATGTGGGGCAGCTGTTAAAGTGCAGAAAACCTGACTGTGGCACAGACTTGCTGATTCAGTATCCACAGAGCCTGGGAATCAGAATCCACATGGCCATGGTCCTTAACATATGCTCTCTTAAGGACTATGGCTCACTTATATGCACACAAAAGTTGATGTATATTCACCCTATAACATATTATTCTCCCACAACTTCCAAATGATTTCAAGTGATTAAATGAGGTCCAACATAGATATAGTGCAAATGTACTGTTTTGTATTTTAATTCTGAGAAAACTGGTGTTCCAAATGAGTTTTATATATGACAACTTTATAGTTACCAGAATTATCATTGTCCAAGCTCCCAAGAGCAGCACTGTTAAAGAACTTTCTGCATTGATGGAAATGCATCTTTTCTCACCTATGTGGAGCCACATGTAGCTTTTGAGCACTGGAATTATGGCTAGTGTGACCAAGGAACTAAATTTTTCATTCTGTTTAAATTTAAGTAATTTAAATTTAAATGGTGGTATATATTATAGCTAGGGTTGCCATATTAGACAGTGCAATTCAGAATAAAAATTTTAAAAAAAGGATTTTGGTGCAGGGCAATGGGCACATAAATCCCTTCTTTTCTTCACAATAACATGGAATTCTGCATATCCAGGCAATTCACTACTTCAGTGCCTTGAGGCAATAGCCTTCTTGACAACCGCCCTTACAAGTAGCCTTCATATTTCCTGGGATTATGCGTTCGCTCATTATTTCATCTTGTCCAGTGGTCATCTCCTGGAGCTATAGCCCACTTCTCCTTTTGTAACCACCACCCAGAACCCTGCCATATTTGCTTTGCAGCTTCCCCCATGCTGTTCCTCCTACTCACTTGAAGTTGAGCACTGTTTCAGGTTACCCACAGCCGTGACATACTCCGCTCCTAAATAGGATTCATACGTTGTTCTTTCCTGAAGTTCGGCCAAACATTTTGTATCATCCTTGAACAGTAGGTCCTTGGTTTTAGATTGGAATAGACAAAAGTCGCTCAAGCAGTCATTTTCATTTTTTCCAAATAGGGCCTGTCAAATAAATAGAAAGTGCTGAGGATCTGTGGAAATGAGAAACTAGGAAAATATGGATGGGATGGAGGAGGCTAAAAGTTAAGAACTGGCTTTGGGAAAGCAAGAGAAGCTACCAAGGATGCTTCAGGATCTCTCCACCTCCCTCACCTGGCATTCATCCACTTTTGGCCCTAGCTCCAAGCTTCCATGAAGTCCCAAAGTCCTCTATAGGTTCCTCCTGGTCCACATCCTCTGTGGAGTCCTTCCCCCCCCAGCCACCTGCTCCTGATTTCTCTGATCTCTCCACCCCACTTCCTTGGCCATGGCCTCCTGAGCAGCTTCCAGGAAACGAGAGGTCAGGCAGAAACATGTCCCTTCCAAGTGTTATTGTCAAAAAAGAAGTTAAACATGAGCCACCCAATAGGTGGAGGCACAGGTAGTTATTACAAGTTCATGTTTTTTAATCTTCAAGGGAATGTTTTTATTGATTTTTAGAAAGAGAAGGGAGAGAGAGAAACAGTAATCAGTTGCCTCCTGTAAGCACCCAACCAGAGATTGATGGAATCAAACCTAAAACCTTTTAGTGTACGGAACAACACTCCAACCAATTGAGCTACCCAGCAAGGGTTTGACTACATTTTTTATCCTATGTTGGGCAAGATGCTTAATTATTCCACGCTTCCTAAGCATATAAGTGAAAAAATGATTACAAAATGTTTAGCATTCCACCTAGCACCTAGGAAATCTTCATTAAATCTGAATTATTATCATAATTTACCATAAGAGGACTCATAAAAATAAGTTTTTAAAAATAAAGCTATTGGAGATTCAATAGGCAGTTAGTATTTGTGGGTAGAGGAGCCTTTAGAATTAGAATACGCAGGCAGGCCCAGCCAACATAGCTGAGTATCAACCTATGAACCAGGAGGTCCGGGTTCAATTCCCCATCAGGGCTCATGCCCAGATTGTGGGCTTGAGGAAGTGTGCAGGAGGCAGCCAATCAACAATTCTCTCTTGTCATTGATGTTTTTCTCTCCCTCTCCCTTCCTCTCTGAAATCAATAATAATATATATAAAAAAAAAAGAATACTCAGGCAGCCCGTCTCCTCACCAAGGCGTGCCAGAGGAGAAGCTCCATGAGGGTTGGGAGCTTGGATTTTTCTGGATGTTAGAGTCATTCTCAGTCTGTCTAAGCAAGGGAAACACAGATCCTCATTTCATGACCTGTGTCAAGGAGGTCTGGGATACAGAATCAGTCTCTTTCATTTAAACAAAATGCAGATGTGCAGAAAACGAGGGTACCAAGGGCAAAGCAGGAAGGCAGACCTGAGGACATGCACATCAGATGGAGGCTAATCTCCAGTGACCAGGAGAGCCAGGCCTACGAGATCCACTTTGAAAATCCATACCCTCACAATTCTAGTTTCCAGAAAGAGAATGCGGGAATATAGGCTGCATTTAGCTGCGAGCTCCTCCCAAATTATCCACACCACTCAAAGAGAAAGGGTGGAGGCCCCGGCTGGTTCATACCTGCTGTTCAAGTAGCACCTGGCGAACACAAGCTGCCTTATCTTGCCTTGAGACCACACCATGATTTGGAGATCGGGCTAGGTGGCAGTTCTCAGCCTCGGACACAGGCTTCCTGGTGCCATCAGGGCACAGCAGCTTGAAATCTGTCTGCTTTAGGTTCTTAGCCCACTCTTCCGTGTTCTTCCCTGGAGATAGAGAAGGTGACAGCTTTGGTCAAGTCACCCTCCCCGGGGTGCAGTGATCAATCCACTGGTGTGTAGAGGGCCTGGACCCAGTGGCCGACAAAAGTGCACACCATGAGGTCACAGTGATGTGAAGAACAAGAGACTTATCAGGAATTCCTAGTGACCACCCCTTCCAACCTGCCCCACCCAGCCAGAGAAGAGGACTGGAGTCTGTGGATGCTGTTCCAAAAGTTCTTTATTTCTACTAAATTCCAAAGCATTTAGGCCTCTTGCTCCAGCATAGGAAATATGTGACCCTCAACTGATTGACAATCTTCTTGCACCAACAAGCAAAGGAATTTTCCCCAGAAGCCCTTTTGGAAACTAGTGGTGTTTTAAGTCTGACTCTCTCATACTGGCTCTGTGTGAAAATGTGTACATCCCTCTGTGCATACAGGTCTATACCCTGAGCTCAGCCTTTTGCTTCACCTTCTCTGTATTCTCTCTGGAAAAGAATCTTACCCATTCTCAGGGTTCTGGCTCTTTCCTCCAGAAGCAATTCTCAAATGTTTTCCTACTTTTTACTTCTCTCCTAATCTTTTCCTTAATTTTATTTTATTTTTTTCTTTTATTTTTTTAAATATATTTTATTGATTTTTTTACAGAGAGGAAAGGAGAGGGATAGAGAGTTAGAAACATCGATGAGAGAGAATCATCTATCAGCTGCCTCCTGCACACCCCCTACTGGGGATGTGCCCGCAACCAAGGTACATGCCCCTGACCGGAATTGAACCTGGGACCTTTCAGTCCTCAGGCCGACGCTCTATCCACTGAGCCAAACCGGTTTCAGCTCTTTTTTTCATTTAATGGAACAAATAATACATGAACTCACTGTTATAAAATTTTATATTACTTATCTATAAAGTCAAAATACCTGTTTTCTATACTCCAAAATGTACTCTTTTAGATTTAGTAGAAAACTCAAATTGCCTAACCATACACATCTTCACTCACCTTCAAAAATTTCTCCTTTCTTTTCTTACCAATTCCTCCAACTCAACACCTTCCAAATGAAATCTATCCTAGTTCTCTTTAAACCCTGGTTGTACTCATTATTTAAGCATTTATTTAATACAATGTTCTCAGCCCTATACAAGACACAGTCTGACTAGAGGGGAAGATAGCACACATGCCAAAAGCAAAGATTCAGGGCACAGATAATAACATTTTCTATTTGGTGGAATACACTACACTCTAAATGCTGTGTGAACTCAGAACCAGCACAGTGAGGGTACATTAATTAAGGAAATTTAGCTGGAAGAGGCAAGGTTTTATGTGTCTTGTATAAAATTGGGGGGAGGAGAAAGGAATGCTTTCTGGGGAAGATGGAGGGCACTGGTAAGACCCAGGGAGGTACAAACTTGGTGTTTCTAATGGGTGAAAGGAGAATTGAACCCAGTGGGACAGTTTCGGTGGTTAGGCTGAGCAGGTGAGGCACGCCTAGGCACTGAAGGCCTTGAGTGTGGGATGGAGTGTGACACGTGGCAGGAGGGAAAGTGGGTCTATGAGGATTTATGAACGGAAGTCAATGTCTGTGTGAGCCAGATTCTAATATAGGACAATTAAGAATAATGAGATGGGCCGGGACCGGTTTGGCTCAATGGATAGAGCGTCGGCTTGGGGACTGAAGGGTCCCGGGATCGATTCCGGTCAAGGGCATGTACCTTGGTTGCGGGCATGTCCCCAGTAGGGGGTGTGCAAGAGGCAGCTGATCGATGACTCTCTCTCATCGATGTTTCTAACTCTCTATCTCTCTCCCTTCCTCTCTGTACAAAATCAATAAAATATATTTAAAAAAAAAAAAAAAAGAATAATGAGATGGGAGATTTAGTCTGAGTTAGCAGTGGGAGGATAGCAGTGGGCATCTAGAAGTACATGATAAAACTTTTTATTTCTAATAAAAGTAATCATTGGTTTTGGTTTTGGTTTTACAACGGTAATTTGTAAAATGTTACCCAGTTTAAAGAAGAAAATTTTGAAACACTTAAAATCCTACAGCAAACACTTTTCAGATTGGTGCATTTCTTCTAGTCATTTTTCAACACACATAATTTGCAGACAAATCTAAATCATTAGATCATAGACTTCACATGCTTTTTTATCCTGATTCTTCTATATCACAACATATCATGGAATTAATAAAGACATTTTTTGAAGAAATAAGAAACATACTGAGAGACTAATCTAGGCTTGACTGGCAGGGCATATAGTCAAGTCTTCAATAGGGACAGAGGCTGTAGGAAGAGGACTGGATTTTGAGAGAATATGAGGAGTTTGGATTTGCACAGGTTGAGGTTGCAGCACCAGTACTTTGTACATAGAAATGACCATGTGGCAATATACGTTAGGCTTCCTCTCTAAATTCCCCTCAAGAGGCAAAGCTTTTGGAGTTATTGATTGCAGAGAGTGGAGAATTAAAGCCTAGAAAGGGGAGCCCTACTCAGAAGAGTACAAAAAGAAAGCAAGGAGTGACAAAGAACCAGTTTTAAGGTAATTCTCCGTAGCAGGAGAAAAAAAAAAACAGCCCTTAAAGGAAAATAGTAATAATAATAGGAGGGAGGAAAGAAAAATTAGCCAAAACAATATTCCTTCAAGTAAGTATTTAGCAACGTCTGTATGCCACATACTATAGTCAGTGTCTGGATAGAAAAGGAGGAAAAAAGAAGCTCAAAGACTTCCTGTGGCCACAGTTTATTATTATAAAGTGTGATGAATTCAATAACACTAGCAATATGGACAGGGATTCTGTTGTGGATGTTTGTGTCCAATCAGGGAAGACTTCTTGGAGGAGATTGAGTTAGTTTATTCTAGATGGGTAGCTGGAAAGATTTGAGGTTCGGTGAAGGGAAAGAGGAAAGGAAGGGAAGAAATAGCTTCTTGGACTATATTGCGTTCTATGAATAGTTAGTAATATAGAGTGGGCAGGTGGAGTACTCATTCTTACCAACTTTAAAAACTTTTTCTTGTTTCTTTTCTTTTTTTTTTTTAATCCTGAGGATATATGTTTTATTTATTTTGAGAGAGGAGAGAGGGAGAGAAAGAGAAACATCAATTGGTTGCCTCCTCTATGCACCCTGACTGGGACCAACCTGTAACCGAGGTATGTGCCCTGACTGAGAATCAAACCCACAATCTTTTGGTTTATAGACCAATGCTCCAACCAACTGAGCCACCTGGCCAGGGCTTGTTTTTTAATGTCATAGCCATCCAATATCACCCTCTAATTTTAGATCCAATAATGGTTTTTGATTGAATCAATCATGACTATATTGTTTGCCAAGTGATAGTTTTTTAACTTTATAATTATTTTTACGTTTATTAGTTTAGCATTCTACAATAAGGAATATCTGTTCCTTTATCTTCATTTGTTTAATCAGGATAGACTCGTATTGTTTTTTTCAATGGATTATCATAGTTTACACTATTATTATTTCTTTTAATATTCAGAATGCCCCAGATTTGGCCAGTTGGGGGTCCAAATGACTCCTGTGTGCTTCCTCGTGTCCCATCACTCTGATCACTTCCATGTGATGTTCCAAGCTCACCTTATATTTTTCCAGCTTAGCGCTAGAATAGGCTATTGTTCTAAGGGGCCCTGGTTACTTTTAATGGAACTGGTTCTAGAATCCAGTATCTTGTGCTCATCCCTACTAGTATGCCACCATCTCTAGGGATTTTTCCCCCAGGGGACATAGAATATATTTGGGATATATATTGGACATGAAAATATAGGAAATAATTATAAAGGACCCTTTTTCAATAATTCAGAAAAGTTAAATATGGACTGTGGATGTAATGAATATTAAATTCATGCTAATGTAAATATCCTGATCTTGATAATTGTAAAGTAGGTATCTAAGAGAATGTCCTAGTTCTTAAGAAATATGCCCTGAGCCCTAACTGATTTGGCTCAATGGATAGAGCATCAGCTTGCGGACTGAAGGGTCCCAGGTTCAATTCCAGTCAGGGGCACATGCCTGGGTTGCAGACTTGATCCCCAGTAGGGGGCATGCAAGAGGCAGCCAATCAATGATTCTCTCTCATCCTTGATGTTTCTATCTCTCTCTCTCATTTTCACTTCCTCTCTGTAATCAATAATATATATTTTTTTATTTTTTTATTATTTTTTCTCAATAAAATATATATTTTTAAAAAGAAATATGCCCTGAGGTACTTAGAGGACAGGCAGCATAATGTCTGCAGTCATAGTAGGGTTCCTGGGGGAGAATTCAGGGCCACTGGAACCTCACGGTTCTTACCACCCTGCTTACCCAAGTGAAAAACCTCTCTTCACTGAACAAAAAGGTTGAGAATCAGAGCTCTGTTGCCTGACAGAGTCCATAACACTTTCACCAAAGCATCCTGAGCACAATGGCACAGCAACCCTGGTGCAGAGGGACAGAGGAGCATGCGCACATACCGTCAGTGTTTTGCAAGACAGTCTCTTCTTTCACAAAGGCCACGTCTCCACTTTCAACCAGACACCTACAGAGAGCAAGATAGGGAGCAAAGAGAGGAAGTCAGTGAGATAGATCTGTCATTCAGAAGGGCAGCCTTACAGATCTAGAGCTGGCCATCTGACATAAGCAATTGTAACTCCCCTTCTATCACTAATCTAATATTTCAAATAATAGGTTATCACTACTCAACTATTATTACTATCTTACATCACAAAGTAGTAAAGAAAAAGAAATCTCCGATTTGCTTTGTAAGTTATACAGTCTCGGTTCCACACACTAAATCTTAAATTCTGGCACAGTTTCTCCAACAGAGAGAGCTACATCAAAACAGATATTAGACAGTAGTTTTTCCAGTGAGGTGATTTCTTTGTAAAATTGGAAATGTGTAGGACTGTGCATTTTACTTGCTCTAATTCACAAGGTGGTTCTAACTGATACATTGGGATAAATTTTTGTGTTTTTCTTCATCGAGAAGTTCAATTACAATATTTGTGCAGTTGATGAATTAATGAACTACTAAGTAACACAGGCCTGAATCAGAAAGGATAATTAAAAAGTAATAAGATCATAAAGTGAACAGGTGTCTCTATTTAAAAATGATAAGCATTCCATGAAATAGAATTATAGTTGGGAATGTAGAAATCATGTACTTTCATATATTTCCAGGTTGAGTGTGGTTGTAGGTTCCCCAGAGATGCACGAAGAGCATGATCCAGGCCCCTGATTTCTGTATTCAACTATGATAGGGTTCCCTCACATTGGCACTTGTAACATTTTGAGCCAGATAACTGGTATAGGATGCTGCATGTGGGATGTTTAGCAGCCTCTACCAATTAGATGTCAGTAGCACCCTCTCCTCACTCCAACCCGCTCCAGTCTTATTTGATAATCAAAATAATCTCCAGACATTGCCAGTTATCTCCAGAGGACAAATTGCCCTCTGTTGAGAACAACCATATTGCCAGTCTTTGCTGTCTGTGACAGCCAGGTCTGGAGACAGTCCTGGAGGCCCTTTCACACAGAGTTCTACATATGGTTGCTGAATGTGGTACCTGAAACACACAGGACTAATAAGCTAGTAACATAAGAAACTTACCTTAGTACCAAAAAAAAAAAAAAAAAAAAAGGAATCTTGTCAGATCTTGGAGTATTATATTAATTTCAGCATTATAAGACTTACTTGAGTGCCCCTGTGTAGCCATAGTATCTTTCATTGTTGTTTGGTTCACACTCCTTTCCTGGAACACTTGCTGAACCAACACACAGAGCACAGAGACTGGAGGTTTTTGCATACCCAGGGGCACAGCCTTGACTGAAAAATTTATCTGCAGAAGGGCAAGAGGAAGACAGCTTTTCCTAAGTAAGTCGATATAAATGGCTTTCATCTAACACATTAACAGGTGTGGATAGCCCAAGACAGGTAGAATGTACTCATTTATTCTGGAACCTGCCACCAACTCAAGACCCACCAGGCTATAGGATTTAAAGGGAAACTTAATTAAGACTGGGAATAGAAGTTAGTGACTGTTACAATTCTGGTGGAGAGAATTATTTCGACCCCCTGAGAATGGTAATACTTTTCTAAAGGAAAAAGATGGAAATAACATAAAGGGGATAAAATTGAAGGTCTCACTCCCTGAACTTGTGCCACCTATTTGCAGATGTTTTCTTCTCCTGCCATTTATTACAAGAGGCTTTAACAGAACTTAGAACTCCATGATCAGAAAAGGGCTGGGAAAATTTAGTCACAGCTCAGCTGCTCTTTCCTGGCTGTAACACTTCCAGAGAGCAGAGATGGTGCCCTTGCTGGTTGGGAACCAAAGCTTCTGAATGTCCCAGCCACTCTTTGCTTCCTGTCAGATTGCTATCAGAACAACTGGGTGCTTACTTGTGATCCAGTCCACACACATGACTCATCTGGTTCATAACTTTTTTTAGAGGACTCTCCTTTTTACATCAGTTACATGTATTTGGAGGTGGCAGGGAGGACATACTCAGGAAGTTAATGTAAAGGAGAACCATTAGAAAACCTTTGGCCATGGTGAACTTCACCTGGGTTTTTAGGGGCTAAAACTAAGCTGGAGGATATTCAGAGGACAGAGGATATACTGATTTCCATCCCTTGGAAGGGTCCAGGGAATTGGGACCTCGCACTCACATTACCTAGAAAGCCCTAAGGCAGGGATTATAGCAGCTGACCAATAGCTATTTCCCGTGGTTCCTTATTAACAAAGATCTAGTTTTTTCAGTATTTTTCTGCATTTATCATTTTTGTTGATACATAATTGACATTTAATATTATATTTGTTTCAGGGATACAAATAATGATTATGAATATATTGAGAAATGATCACCACAATAAGTCTAGTTAACATCTGCCATCATACAGTAATAAAATTGTTTTTCTTGTGATGAGAAATTTAAGATCTCTATTGGTAACTTTTAAATATGCAACACAACATTATTAAGTTTAATCACCATGCTGCATATCCCCATGATTATTTATTTCATAACTCAAAGTTTGTACCTTTTGACTCCCTTTACCCATGTTGTCCAAACCCACCCCTGGCATCTAGCAACCATCAATGTGTTCTCTGTATATATGAGCTTGGTTTGGTTTTCTTTTCCTGTTTTTATTTTTATTTTTTAGATTCCACATATAAGTAAATCATACGATATTTATCTTTCTCTATCTGACTTATTTCACTTACTATAATGCCCTCAGGGTCCATCCATCTTGTTGCAAATGCAAGATTTTCTTATTTTTTTATGGCTAAATAATATTGTAGTGTGTGTGTGTGTGTGTGTGTGTGTGTGTGTGTGTGTGACATTTTCGTTATCCATTCATCTACTGATGGACATTTAGGTAATTTCCATGTCTTGGCTATCTTCTTCTATCTACACTATTAGAGAAAGATGCAAATTGACTGTACTTTTGTGACAGGAATGAGTATGCAAATTAACCCAACAAAGATGGAGGTTAATTTACATATGTAGGTAATGAGCAGTTGAGGATGTGGCAGGACACTTGTGTCTTCACCATGGCAACAACGCAGGCATACAACACTGCCCCAGCAGCTCTGGGCCTCTGGGCAGTGTGGGAAGGCAGAAAGGCAGCTCCAGGCTGGAGCCAAGGCAGAAAGGCAGCTTCAGGCCACAGTGAAGGCAGAAAGGCAGCTCCAGCTGGAGCAAAGATGGTGTCGGCAGCCAGGGGAAGGAAGGCCCATTGCACGAATCTTCATGCATCGGGCCTCTAGTATATATATAAAAGATTAATATGCTCTGCCCATCTGACTGGTCAGTATGACGCACATTGACCATTAGAGGGCAGGCACTCAACACAGGAACTGCCGTGACATGCACTGGCCATTTAAAAATAAATGGGACCGTGGACCTGGCATCGACTAATCAACACTCAGCTTCCCCCAAGTGGGACACAGGCCCAGCCACCACCCCGGAGTAACACTTTACCAAATTGCAGCCAATGGTGTCAAAACCCCATGGCACAAAATGCTTTCCACAGCCCAGCCCAGCCTGGAAACTGTGGTTGTGGGTACTGATAATGGCATCATGTAGCAACGCCTAGTTTCCTCTCCCTAGCGACTAGCCTCCTTGCAGTTTCTTCAGCCCAGGAACAGGTGGAAACATTAATACTTTAACCAAATGTCTGTGAAGTGTTTTCCTGTGCCTCAGCTCATTTGATCCTCAAAGAAGTCCTGGAGTAGGAGACTCAGTAGAATCCTATTTTCATTTGCCAGAAAACGGAGGTTTAGAAAGCTTAGAAACTTGACCCAACTGAAAAGATGTAAAAAATGGTGAACCTTGAAAATGACTTCAGGTTTTCTCACTGTGTAGAATATAATCAAACACTGTTGCAGTTAACTATTTTACCCTTTGTTCTCCTGCTGTGATCTACAATAATAATCTGCTTCATGTTGATATTTACTGCTGTGTTGCTAACAATTACCTGAAAGAGAAGTTGGGGTGCTTCTCTGGGCTGGAAAAAGTTTAGCTAAATCAGAAAGCAGGTCAAATTAAGCAAGTTTATGTGTGTGTATGTGTGTGTGTGTGTGTAAGGCTAAGTTGACTTGTGTATGTGTGATACATATAAAGCTCTTGCTGGTGCTAATCGCATGTATATGTTTCGATGTATCATTGTTGATCATGAATTTGGTTGACACTTCTAATCTAAAGGGTAAATATTGATATTAAAATATTACTTCTAATTTGTTTATTTTCAATGTGCATGAATTTGTGCACTAGGCCACTAGTAAATAATGCTGCAGTAAACATGGGAGTGCATATATCTTTTTGAATTAGTATTTTTTCTTTTTGATAAATATCCAGAAGTAGAATTGCTGAATCATATCCAGAAACATGCCCAAATGAAAGATGCATATCCAGAAACATGCCCAAATAAAAGATGACCATTTTCCAGTGTTTTTTAGAGTTAAGTGGATTATGTGCCTAAATTCTGAGCATTGAGAAGTTATTTGAAGTGATTGGGTTAGATTTCCTGGATGGCTTCTTTAATATATTAACAGCAGGTGACATTCACTTTAAGTTGCTCTTACTCCTTGCTCCTTGAGGTTTCCTGGATTATGGATGTGACGGTAATTATGGATGACCTTGAAGATAGAGGCCTCATGCTCAGAATGGTGAAGCAAAAGAGAAAGGGTTTCTAATGATGATAACAGCATGGACTACTCACCTCTCCTCTTTTTCATGAGAGAAAGGTAAGCCAGTATGTGCAACCACAAAGAACTATTTTGATGCATCGTTCCAGCCCTATTGTCTTTTTAGGTATTTCCTTAAGGTTCACTTTAAACAAATTTAACTACTATAGAACCAGGGCCACAGCAGCATTTTGTACTATACCACTCTCTTCCCAGATCACTCTTTCTGGCCTTCCCTGACTACAGGGACCTCCCAGGATTCACTCACCAAATTCACAGTGATTGAGCCTGTTGTAGAGCAGGCCCATGGGGATATTCCAGCCAGCAGTTCTATCTACTGCAGTGTGACAGGACTTCTTGTCTTGTAGAGTGTTCCATGTGAGGTCCTCTGGTGATGATGACTTAACCACAGCCACAGCCAAATATCCTATAAGAAATACGCCAAAAAAATAATGATATATTAACACCTCTAGGCACTCCAGAGTATCTGTCTGCAATCAAAGTCTGCCATCTCCCTAGGGAAGCAAAATTATTCTAAATTATTCCTACTGTCTCTGAAGGAGCCCTTGCCAATAACAGGAGGTGAATACAAGTGATTCTTTCAGGTGGAGATTAATCTGAACTGAAAAATCAATATAACAAGAATATGTTATAGAGCAGTGGGTGGTGTATGATCCTTTTCCAAATGCACAAAGCTACTGAAGTTAAAAATCAGCAGCTCACTTTCCACTGGGGACTTTCAGAGAAATGAATACTGAAGAATACATAGTGTACTAACAATTATTAGGAAATATTGTATATGGCCAATAAACTGCAGGGAATATTCTGTCCAGATATGTTGCGATAAGGAGAATACAAATTTGCACTAAAATAAATATGTGACGTGCAAACTGTCAAAAGCAAATCAGCTACCATTTTTAGCAGCAAATAGTTGCTTATTCTTAAAACAGGAAATGGAACATCAACCTGTGATTTCAACTTTCTAATTTAACTGAGTAACTTGTTTACAACAGAAAACAGAGAAGTCATATTACCCATGGAGTGAGAATAGGCCTTTCTATATTCTCCTACTGAGCTTGGCTCCTAGAGTGATGGGGAAAGGCTGGGAGGTTGTAATCAGGAGAAGTCACAAGGACAGAATTACACACTAGTAGCTGGAAAATGACCTGGAGAGTTCTGTGCATAGAGGTTCTGGGGCCCAGTGCTTACCAGGGTATAAGAGTTCCTGACTTGCTCCCGCTCCATCTTTCCAAATCCACCCCAGCCAGGACCCTGGGCAAGAGCCACCATTGGCCTGGATTCCTGAGCCCAGCCCTGGCTGGAAGACTGGGGAAATTTATCCTCTTAGACATCTGTCTATGGGAGCCTCTCTCCCCAGCCCTGCCAGGCACAAATATGCAAGGCTCCTTGGCTGGTACTAACTTTCATTTGAAACTGTAGGCCTAATGTAATACAAGGCAGTCAGGAGTGGTGAGGAGGGTGTGGATGTACTTACAGGATATAGGAGCCTAGACAGCTTATAAACTCTCTCAGCCTCTTGTACATCCTTAGAGGATGACAAGACCTACTTTATAGGATTCAATGAGAAATCCTTTGTGTAAGTCTTGGCAAGTATAAAAGAGGGCCCATCATTACCATTTACTATCTTTCCATGGTTCTTTTGCATTCTAAAAATTAATCTATTCTTTTGCCTTATCTACTTGTGGTTTGAATTTAAATTTATCTTCCTCTTTCCCAAAAGCAATGGATTTTATCTTAAACTCAGGTTCCCAATCCCAACTCACCTTTTTCTGGTGTGTTCACACAATTACTGGTAGTTTCTGGAGAAGAGAAAATGAAGAATTCATTAAATACTTATTTATAGATTGAAATCATGCCTCCCCCGTGTTGCAGATTAGAATAAAAAGAGCCATAAAAACTGCATATCATCAATTCCCAAAAAGTCTAAGCTCTCTTAATTGTGCAGATTCACTTGAACTCACTGGCCAATGGAATTTAGCCCAAAATTATGAATTTCAAGTTTCCTGCTCTGTCTGTCCCGTGGCCACAGTGGTCCTTGCCAATTCAATTATACTTGAATCTGCACCAGAGCAATAAGAAAAGTGTGAGTTTTGCAAGCAAGAAGACATGCCAGGAATCTCAGCTGAGAATCCCCATTGTTCTCTGCAATAGGTTTTCTTTTAGCTGGAACTTTGTAATGCAAAGCCTCCATTTCCCCTGATGGAAGGTCTGATAGAAGAACTATCCTTCAGGGTAACTGTGGGGATTAGAGATGAGGGAGCCCAGAGCCTGGGAAGTGGGAGATGCTCAGTAAGCAAGATCTTTTATGGCCATTGTAGTAAGAATCAGGCTATGATTTTCCCCTCTCCTTTCTTCATGGCCTAGAAGAAATGAAACACTGAGGGATGCCCCTTCCACTTACTGTAGTTCTCTGCCAGGACAGGCACCAGTCCACACTTGCCGGCGATGTAGATGAAGCCTCCATCCAGGCTCATGGCATCAGCTTCTCCTTTCTGCAAAGACACAGAATATCTGAGTAGATGTAAGGTGTCTGCCCTTCCAGGTGTTTCCTTGAAGCATCCTTTCTAGCCCAGGTCATCAAGTACCAAGGAGACAGCTGTTGCTAGTTCTGGACCCCCTCCTTATGTACTCTCATTTTCACCCAAACCACCTTGAACTGATGATCAGTTCTGAGTACCTTGCTTAGTTTCTTCAGGAGCAAAGACCCACATTTGGTCTGCCTGTTCTCTAATAGTACAACTCTGTTTCAGGGACATTCCTACAGCATCTTTCTGCCACCAAGGATTCTCTTTTGCAAGACAGATGAATGGAGCCAGCTCTAAGGAGCTCATCAGATCCACATGCTCAGAAATACTGAAGCTTCTGTGCGGCTGGGCTCCCTCAGTGAAGGTAAGGTTCTAACTCATTTTGCCTAATGAATTAGCTGCCCACATACCTGATTATTCCTGGGTTTTCATATCACTCCCAGGAACACCTGGGACAGGCAGGCAGCAGTGGCAAAGGCACTACCCTATGGAAGCAGGAATGACATACCATGATCATGGCAATACAGTCTTCGGTGGTCTCTGCTGATTCACAGGCTATTTTCCCTTTACTGTTTACACTCCACTCATCACACTTGAGTCTTTCCTGGTGGCCTATTGCACACCACTTCACAGTATTGCATCCAGCTGTTGAGGGATCTGGGCCTAGGACATAAGAAAGAGAATGGGGTTTCAGATGCAGCACCATGAGCTGCCTGCTATTTTGAATGCTACTGTCTTCATGAAAATGCTGGGATTTGCCCAAACAGATCCCATTCAAGGAATTATCTTAGAAAGCACAGGCAATAACAATCTCTTGATTGACTTCTTATCATTTAGACTTAGTTTACATTTATTTCTTCTGAGAAGCCAATCATCCTCCCAAATGCTGGGCACTCTATCACTTCAGGCTAGTTTCTCCTCCCCCCCTTTTATTGAAATAACAGTTAACCACTTGAGCTGGTCTTATTTATTTCTTCATTGTTTATTGTCTATTCCCTGTAGAACAGTGGTTCCCAACATAGGGTACACACTCCACAGGGAGGCAATGTAATTTTTAAAGGAGCAATTCAAGAATGAGTCATTAACAGTGAATTTTTTGCATTTCTTATGTTTCTAGGGGCCTCATATACAGTATATTAATATATTTTGTGACATTTATGCATTTCAGTTCTCTATTATATGTTTTGAAACTTTATTTGCTATTTTTTCTTATTCATATTATTATTTTTTAAACAATTTTTTAGTGATTTCTTTCTCAGTACTTCAACTGTCCTCTCATTTTTCTCATTCGTGATGCCATGTTATTTGGAAGCTTGTTTAGACCACATTAGGCTTCCTCTGTGTGAATAGGAGTTCACTTTTTGAATAATAAGAATTATATGTCACAGGGGGACATCAAAATTTTTGAGATGCTTAGGTGGGGCGTGCCCAAAAAAGGTTGGGAACCACTGCTGTAGAAGATCATAAGCTCTGCCTGGCAAGGGCCAGGCCTGTCTTTTCTCCACTGCCCCCTCATTGTTCAGGATAGTGCCTGGCTTGTGGTTAGCGCAATAAATGTCTGCTTAATGAATGAACACTTAACCATCAGACGCAGCTCAAGAGCCACTTCCTTAGGGAGGCCTTATCTTAACTCCAGGACCTGTTTTTGTTTTCATGGTCTCATAGGATCATGGTATTTTGTCCTGTGTTGTATTTTCTCCTCTTTCTGAGTAAATGTCTCCATTTTAATTGATCATTCAATTGAATTACTGTCTATTGAACATTTGTCTTCTTTGCTGGTGAGAAAGTTTCATGATAACAGAATCTAATATGTGTTTGTCTCCCCATTATATGCCAGCACCTAGCACAATCTATGGCCAGATAACCAATAATTCTCTGCTGAATGAATGAATGACCAAACAAACCTCCAGTGACCTAAGAAAATTCAGAAACAGGACGGACCTTTCTAGAATTTCAGCCTCACTAAACCACATGTTTACCATTGTACTTGGCTTATATGTAGGAAATTAATTTCATTATTTTTGACTTACTTTGTGTCAGGCTAATTGGCTTCACAAAGTGGTTGGGGCAGCCCTGATTTATACAAGGGAAATAATGTCCATTTTACATAAGAATTTCCTTTAATTCCCTTTAGTGATGCCCAGGCTTATCTCATGATGATGAATGCATCTATCCCACAGGTAGGGCTGATAAAGGAACATCAGGGCAGGTGTTCAGTACCTGAACAGACTCTATCACTGGTCCCTGCCTTCATCAGGTTTCCAAGCTCCTAAGGTCACATGGTCCTTCCCAAGTACTTACGTGTATTTTCCTTCAGATTCTTCATTACAGAGACATACTCATAACCCAGGTACATCCAGGCGTCCATCTTAGGGGGAACCTTTAAAAACCCTTGGGTCGAGTCCTTAAACAACAGGTTCTTCCCCTCAGAAGAGCTGAAGAGCTGGAAGTCTCCAGATGTACCTCTGCCATAATGTTCCTATTTATGGTAAAACAGCAGTGAATGGTTACAGTGACTAAGTAAGTTGTGAAATGGGACTAAAAGAAACCAAATTCCCGAAAATTAAACTATGAAATTTCCAAATGCCAGGGCCTGCTCTTTCCTACCCATCACCTTTTCCACTAACAGCCATTTGGAGGCTATACCACATCTTATTTCCCTGAATGTGTTTCTGTACTTATCTCCCTGGCTGGATTGATGGCTCACTGAGTGCAAGCAAAGTATCTCTGTCAGAGGCTGACACTGTGTGATTGTCACTTAAGCTCTTCTTTTTAAAAAAATATATATTTTATTGATTTTTTGGCAAGAGGAAGAGAGATGGGTAGAGAGTTAGAAACATTGATGAGAGATAATCATCGATCAGCTGCCTCTTACACACCTTCTACTGGGGAAGTGCCCGCAACCAAGGCACATACCCTTGACCGGAATCGAACTTGGGACCTTTCAGTTCACAGGCCGATGATCTGTCCTCTAAGCCAAATCAGTTTCGGCTGTCACTTAAACTCTTGATGGATGGATGGGAGGGCTGAATGATAGTTGGCTCATTTCTGGCATTCTGCTGCCCTAGGGATGTAAAGCTCGTGGTACAAGCAGCTAGCTCTCTTGCAGTCAGGTTGAGGGACATCAAGAAAGAGACCATTTCATTCTGGGGAGTTCCTGGAAGGCCTCATGAGGGCAGGGATGTTTGCTCTTGTCCTAAAAGCCTGATTTATGTGGAAAGAAATGCAATAGAGCAGTGAGGAGCATCTTCATGTCACTGGTCCAAAATGTAGGAGTCTCATAGATGATAATGTAGGAGTAAGTTCCATACTACTCTGAGAAGAGTCCCTGCTGAGCACTTTTAGTTAAGTGGATGGTGTGTAGCATAATCTCCACTATGTCCTAGAAACAGGAGGGTCTGCAGTGGCATTAAGGAAATGAAGGAAAATGCCCCAAAACCACTAAAGAGGGAGAACAGTGGATTTCATACCTGGGCTTGGTTGAGAAGCTCCCAGATCAAGTCCTCTTTGCCGTCTACACTTCGGGCCACAACGGCATGGGATGGGACAGTGGCCAGGTGGCACTCCTCATATTTATCTACTGGCTTCCGGGTGTTGTCCCTGCAGAGGAGCTCGTACTGGTCCCTGTCAGCCTGGTTTGGGAGATCATCTGAGGAAGGAAAGCCCAGATGAACCTACTGTACGAAAAGCCATCAGCTTTTGGTCCCCCGTCCCCTCCCTTGCAATCCCGCTGCATCATAAAATGTGTGAGCTGAGAAGCCTAGAGCTAACACTGAGGGCCAAAGAACTTAGGGAAACTGACTTGCTCAAGGTCCCACAATTAAGCCAGTTACAGGAGAGGAATTTTCTGATACCCAGTACAGAGTTAGCTGCCCCGCATCACACATTGGTCTCATCTTCGTAGGCCAACTACAGGCCAAGGTTGGCCAGACCTGTCCCCAGTCCTTTGCTATGGCAATATTTAACAGAAGGAAAGGGCCCTGTATACAGGATATTGAATGATGGAAAGAGGCCCAGGAGTCCAGGCAGGGACCCCATAGACACATACCTCTGAACATGTAGAAGCCCAAGCAATGATAAAGGAGGAGCATACTATCCTCAAATCTGACTGCTAAGCAGGAAAAGGGAGGCAGGAAAAAGAGAAGGCCCACTGTTTCGTGGGGATCTGCAAATTCTTCTAATAACTTACCCAATACCGTCAAGTGCTTGACAAAGGCCACTTCTCCAGCACCATCCATCAAACACCTGTGAGAAAAAACACATTAGGAGAGTTTCTGCAGGATAGACCCTTCTCCTGGTTTGAGGGTCTGATCACCTATCCTGCCTGGGACACGGGGAAAGCCTGGTGGAGACCTCTGTGCAGACCAACAGCAGAGGAAGCATCTAGGGTACCACCGACGTGTGAGAGGTGAGCTCCAGGAACTAGAGGGCCCTCACCAGGGGCCCCAAAGCAGCAAAAAGGCATTGAAGATATTTTAGTACAGTGAATGTTTTTCAAACTTCTGAAATGGAGGATAAAGACTTAGCATCTCCTGAGGGAGGGAAAAGTACCCTTAGCTTGCTATAAAACCAAGGGAAAAGAAGAAGCAAGAAATGAGCTATGTGAGCTGTCTGCACAGAAGCCATGAGGGAAGGCAGGAGAGAGGCCAGTACATTGAGCAAGTGACACTGCTGCAGTAGAAAACAGAGAGCCAGTCACTGGAGAATGTCTCAGACACTAGGGATGTTTCTGTCCCCTCAGGCTCTGCCCAGTACCGTGAGAGGACACACTTGCCAGATTCAGGGCTCAGGGAAGACAGAAGAGTCCCAAGGAAAGTGGGTTCCTATCAATGAAGCATGAAGGGAGCATGCACTGGCCTAGTCTGTCGAGTCCCAGCTGGGCAAGGGAAGTGGGGGGCAGAGCGGGTTAGGTCACCTGAACACTATTGTTCAGGACTAGGGAGGGTTTTCCAGCCTAAGGACATGGAACACTTTGGCTTCCATGGGGCAGCAGCAGGTCTCACTCACTTGAGGGCACCCGAGTAGCCAAAATACGGTTCATGGTGGGAGAAGGCACACTTGTCTTTCCCTTTCCCAGCGCACAGCTGACACAGTTTGGGGTAGGCATTCGGATCCACACCAGGGACACAGCTGCCCCCGAAGAAATTGGCCGCTGCTGCTCAACACAGAAATGTAGAACACAGGGCATGAGCCAGCCTGGCCAAAGACAATTTCAGCTCCCAACCCAGGCTCATGCATGAACAGAGAGGGACCAAAACAAAACCAGCATACAAGGCCCAGCTTGCACATATGAGTGTTCACTGGTCAAGATCAACGTTTCCCAAAAGGGACATGTTAACAACTATTCTCCCATCGCCCTCCCCAAGGACCAGGCCTATGCCTGCCACCAACTAAGGTCTTTGGTCTTAGGTCTTTGTTATCCTCCCCCACTCCCCCGCCTTGTCCCACTGGAATAGCTCAGAGAGACATCTCCCCTGGAAGTCATGCCCAGGAGATGACAGACCCACCTGGACAGGTGCATGCCAAGCTCATGGCCAGCACATGGCCACCAGAGAATGCTCCAGCAGGAGGGGAAACACAGAAAGGAAGACACCCCAGGGAAGTGGACAATAGGACCCACTGACCTTGGTCCTGCCTGAACCCTCTGTCGGGCCTGATGCCCTTCTCCACCCACTCCTCCAGGCAGCCTCTGCTGAGGTATCAGGAGCTCAGAGAAGAGAGGACTCAGCCGAACCCTCTCAAGGGCTGTCAGTGTTGCAGACCCAACCAGTTTAAAGCTGGTTAACCTCCCACCTCCACCTCTGGAATCATCGCACACGATCCCCTGATCATGTCTGAGCACCTAAAGAAGGGACGTCTGCCTGAGGGCACACACCCTCCTGCCTACTTACCTTTCTGAAGATCTTCCTGTGGCTCAGACAATTCGGGATAGAGTGTGCCCATGGGGATCTTCCACCCAGCAGACCTGTTAATGCCTGTGTGGCAGGACTTCTTGCCTTGAAGCTGGTTCAGCTGGAAGCCACTGCCCTTCTTCACCACGGCCACAGCATAATAGCTGGTTTGTGGATCTACAGAGAGACAGTGTGACTGGAAGACCCATAACCTGGGCCTCAGGGAAACATTGCTCATCACTGCTGGGCTCCTGACCAGGGAAGGGGAACCCACAAGCCACACTTATGATGGGTTGGGTCCTAACGAGGGAGAGATCAGAATAACTTCCCTAGGTTTGCAGGGAAGAAAAGGACCACAGAGTGGGCATTGGTATAACCCTCCAGGCAAAGATGGCCAGAAGGCCACATGTGCATGGGCCTCAATGATTTTTCCTGTCCTCGCCCTGCAGGTTGTCTGCCTACACCTGCCAACCCAAGGCTACCTGGAAACCAGAGATCACATTCCTAACTCCTAAGTATTTCCTGGAACCTAGGGACATGAGCTCAGAGATAGTCAGATTACTCTCAGAGTGTGTGCTCCAGTGTGGTGTCTTCTGCGTGAGGCACCTGTGGTTCTTAGAGGACTCTCTATATAGCTCTGAACTCTAATGGTTCAGGTCACACTATACACATCCTGCTGCTCTATTTCTTCAGGGAGCATATTTCTTGGCCCAGGAGGTCAGTGTCAACAGCACCAGTCATCAGCCCAAAGTCACAGAGGCCTGAGTTGTGCCTGTAGGGGCCTATAGGACACCACATTTTCCACTTACTCCTATATTACCTGTCTAAACAAGACAAGAGTCTTATTGGGAGAGAACAAGGTTCTATCAGGATAGAACAAAGCCAACAAACTCTCTCTTGGATCCACAGGGAAAACTCACTCTCTTTTGACCCGTAGTACTCTGCCACTACAGGTTTCAGGTTGTAGGGGGCTTGGCCCGCATCAAACACCAAACCTCCATCCAATGTCACAGCATCTGCTCCTTTGTTCTGAAAAAGAACAAAGCAGACACCAATGAAGCCCTCAATTCCAGGAAAGACCACCTAAACCCAGGTGAGTGAGGGTGACTTTGGGGCCAGAAAAGCCATCAACTTGGCCAGACCACCCACTAACTCGTTTCAGTTGACTCCACCACCCCAGTGGGGGGAGTTTGGCCACCGTATTCCTTTTCCTCCAACATAGAGGAAGGAATGGATTGGTTTTCTTTTTCCTGGTGAGGAGTCAGGTTCTTGGCTCAGAAACCTGTGTGTGATCTTCTAGGATCAACCTGAGCTACAGAGGCTTTACTCACAGGCCTCGTGGTGGAAAACTGCCCTCCCCCCCCCCCCCCAGGCTGGGTGCACAGCCCAGGCACTGCAGGCTCTGAAGGAGGCTGCAGTCAGTCACTCAGGCCTGCCGCCTGGCCATGCTCTTTCACATGTGTACATTGAGAACCCAGGTGCTTTTCTTTAATGACCTCTTTATGGTGGGCCTTCTCAGGCATCACTGTGAGGCCCTCCTTATGGGGTTTGATGATACTCTTCTCCACTCAGATTCAGTACTCAGTACTTTTCCTTCCTGTCCTGGGTCCAGATAACTATAGGAGTCCTGCATTCATAGAGTTAGTGTGTTTTTGGATTTAACTTCTTGCTTTACTCTGAACTAAGTGTTAAGCAGTGATTACTTCCATTGTGGCTCATGGTTCATTTAATGGACTATTCAGACTTGTCACAAATCACTGCTATCCAACACATGCCAACTTGTAAGCTGGGAGGTTAGCACATTGCCAGCCAGCAGCCTTCAGTAGCGCCATCTTGGAGGCGGGAGCCATTCTGCAGCTTCATTTTACACATTAAAAAACAGAGACAGCCGAAACCTATTTGGCTCAGTGGTAGAGCGTCGGTCTGCTGACTGAAAGGTCCCAGGTTCGATTCCGGTCCAAGGCATGTACATTGGTTGCGGGCACATCCCCGGTAGGGGGTGTGCAAGAGGCAGCTGGTCGATGTTTCTCTCTCATCGACATTTCTAGCTCTCTATCTCTCTCCCTTCCTCTCTGTGAAAAATCAATAAAATATATATTTAAAAAGCAGAGACACTTGAAATCACTTTTTGAGGCCACATAGCTAGTGAGTCATGGAGAAGGGATTCTAATACAGGCAGTATGGGTTTATTTCCTTCATTACACTGTTCTTGCTGGTTGTTGTTTGATGCCTGCACACTGTATCTATAATTAATTTAATAATGCAAAGTATTTAAATGCACCACTACTAGGAGTGAAAAATTAAATAACAGTTCAGTTTTGGTACCCTCCACTGTATCTATAATTTATTTTCTCTTAAAATAAGAAGCACTATTTTTTATATATACTCTTAATAACTTCTATCCCATTTTTCTTCAACTATCTTTGATCAAAATAATTTTTAGAAGCCCTTTCCAGTACTCTATGAATAGTTTTTATTGCTAGAATTATAGGGCTAGACAAGTATCAACTAGACAAATATATAGTTTGGCTTACATTATTGTTAAATTTCATTTAGAACTACTATTGTCTTATTCCCTATATAGTACATGACACAGATCATGGAGGTATAGCTCCCTATGGGGAGCAGGCCTTAAGCCTGCAGTCAGACATCCCCCAAGGCCTCCCAGACTATAAGAGGGTGCAGGCTGGGTTGAGAGAACCCTCCTCACCAAGTGCACTAATTTCATACACCGGGCCTCTAGTACATAGATAAGTCTTTAAAATAAAAGGGGGTTGGGGGGGGGCGGGAATCTTAAGATTCTGTTTTCTTAGGAAGGGGAAGCACAAATCATTGCAAGTAAGGCCAGGGGGTTCCATAACCCTAAGTGGTGCCATTCCCATAGAATCCAATGCTGCTGCAAACATAAGCTATTGGCAGTAATGAAGTTTTGAGAACTTGTGGTGGATTTGTGGATAGTATTACTTTATATTATTTACATATTTTAAAAGAGGGGCTTGTATAGACCAAAGCTGATCATATTCATAATTCAAGGGTTATAATTAAGCCATGATAGAAACTGAGGTACAATTTAAAGCTAATAACAACAACAACAACAACAAAACAAAACACAAGTCCTAGCCAGTTTGGCTAAGTGGATAGTGTGTCGGCCTGCAAACTGAAGGGTCCCGGGTTCGATTCTGGTCAAAGGCATGTGCCCAAGTTGTGGGCTCAATCCCCCGTAAGGGGCATGCAGGAGGAAGCCAATCAATGATTCTCTCTCATCATTGATGTTTCTCTCTCTCTTCCTCTCTGGAATAAATAAAAATATATTTTAAAAAAAAACAACACACAAGTATTTGTATCAAATCACTGGTTTCCGGAGTTAATCAAGCTCTGTTTAGCTGAGTCTCATTGCTCCTTCCAGTATCTGCTTGCTCTGCTCTGTCACCCTGGCTGCTCTACAGCAACTCAAACCGCCCTCCCCTGTGCCAGGGTCTCTGCACATGCTACTGTTCACTGCTTGGAGTGTTATACCTTCACTCTTGGCTTACCCATGCTCATCCCTGGGGGTCTCGGCTTCATTGTTCTTTCTCAGGGAGATTGTTCCTAACATCAGGCTCTGTCAGAGCATTCTACTTTCCCCCTTATTTTATGGCACATATTTTGAAATTACATATCTACTTGTTTGCATGCTTTTCTTCTCTCCTAAGAAAAGTTCCTCAAGAATAAGGACCATGTATGTTTAAATTCATTACTGTAGCCCCTTTGCCTAGCCAGCAACTGACACAGGTTCAAATGAGCAGGAACAATGTTGAAGGAGAAGAGGATTTTGGAAAACCTAGAAAACAAAGGGATCAGCTATCATCTGCAGTTCTGTCACCATATTTCTCTTCTCTGTGACTATCAATCATCTACTTTCATGATGTATTAAGAACTTCCAAACCATGTTATTTTGTAGCAAACATTCTTGTTTTTTCCCTGAGTTCAGAGAACTTAGTGCCTCAAAATAGGCCCCTTTCAGAGCATGTTGTGTTTTGCTTTAAGACTCATTAAAGATAGCTGCTCCGATGTCCATTTCTAAAGTACATTCGCCTCCAGTGTGTGAGTACAGAATTGTTCCAGAACACCAGGAGCAAGAGGAAGTGTGGTTTGTCTTCCACTCTCCTTTAGGCAGCAGTGACTTACCGCAATGGCCTCAATGCACTCATAGTGGGAGCTTTTCCTCACACAGTCAAGAGCCTTTTTCAAATCATCATTTTGATTTTTGAAAGCTGTGCACTTT